ATACACACTAAAGCGGACAAAAAGAGTCATTTTCGCATACTATAACACTATTTTTCGATATGAGTGGGTCTTCGCTCCACCTTTTTGAAAGTTAATCCTCAAAGTTTGCATAAAAATATACATTTTTTGGTTACCAAAAATATGGAGCAATGACCCACTATACCTTAAAAATATACTTTTATGACATAACATTCGCATCTTTTCGAGAAATACTTGAAGTCCATTAAGTCAAGGGTCATATCACAAACATGATTTAAATGCCACTGTTCGTCAAGACTTGTGTAGTCTAGTGGTTAGCGTGCTAGTCTCGAAAGAAAATGATTCTCAGGATTTTTATTGCTAGGGTTTGAACCCCACAAATACCACATTAATTTTTTCAATAAAAGAATAAATTTTGCCGAGAAAATTTTCCTCAGAAAAGTTTTGTTTATCACTATTACATAAATTTCAATAATAAGAACTTTACTCTAAATATTAAATTCACAAACTGAACATGATTTTTATATTTCTGAAGCTATAGGCTTTCTGCACGCTATGTTCGCCCATCTCCTTAATAGGCGTCTTTTTCTTATAATCAACACCTTCCGTATAAAATTTGAAATTGTTAAATGAAAATAGAGTTACTGTGTCTTGATAGATATACATACAAACATACATACATACAGACTGACAGACAGACAGAGGAAGTGAAATGACCTCAAACAAAATCTATATGTGTCTTTCTCTTATTCTAAAGTATATCTGACTGTGTAGAATCTGAAAATGTTACAGTGAAACAGAGGTTTTTTTGTGTCACAAAAAGAGTTTTAACAGATAAAGGGACAAATAAACAATGTAATTTCTACAGAGCTCTGCATATCATGCCGGTCTCTGACAACTGGACACTAGCCATTAGTGCTTTGTCAAGTGCAACTTCAACCTATTCTTATACTGATGAAACTTCCACAGACAAATCAATGATCATTTAAAAGGGATCTGAGCTATACAGAGCCCATAATCTACTTAGAATTCCCCTGAATGACAGCTTCATTTCAATATTCAGCCACAATATTGTGAAGAGTTACACCTTGTTTGATACCCTGTGTATAATGAAACTGGAAACTCCTTAAATCCTTCATGAAATAAAGCTACACCTGTACCTTGATAATCAGGAGCTAATGAATATATATTACAGAAAAAATACAATACAAATAACTGCATTTATTTTCACAATGAGAAGAGTCTTGTTAAAGAGAGTGCACCATTTAATCTCATACAAGTGAAGAAATGCGTACTTTTAAGTACAGTAATCTCTGGACCTATAGCTACTGAGAAAATGGATGATAGAGTGATAATTGTCAGCAGTGTTCAGCAGTTATACAAAAAAAACCAAAACATCTACTCTGATGGACAACCATCAATAAATTTTAATTATCTCATGAAAGCTCGGTCTGGGTAGAGAATCAAAACACACATAAACGATAATAATAACCATTTTTAAAAGAGTGCAAGTTTTACAATGTTTGAGTGCACAATTAAGAACTTATAATTGAATCCTACACAATTCCCAGAGTTAATACAGTTCCTCTAATTAAGGACAATATCAAGGCTGGTATAAAATCCCGTTAGGAATTTACACAGCCTTTCTAAAGTACAATGATACATTGGCACCATTTGCAAATATTGATCAGATTTTGTTGAAGACGTAGGAGGCAATATTTCAGAGTGGAATAATCATCCTGCCCACACTGAAACATAATGGATAATTTTTATTTTTCCATGAATCTCATTCTCAAGGAGATATTGGAAAAGTCTGGCTGCTTAATAGAAAGCCTAAGTCAGTCCTTAGGAAACTCTGTGCAGCATACAAATAAAGTCTCTCTAATCAACTTTTGATACGAACTTAAACTTAATTTACTCCAAAACAGCTGTCTTTGACAGATAATTAAATCTTAGTTAATTAAAATAAATATGAATACCAGGAAATAGTCAGTTTTGGAGATTCATTAGGAATACGTTGGAAATTTTAATCTGGCTTCATATGTTATCCAATCAACACAATGAACCAAGTTTCAGTAGCGAGTTCTCTTATTCTAAATTATCAAATTTGATGCCATATACAGTGATCTTGAAACTATCTTTCGCACAAAATGAAAAAACAATAAATGTTATCAAGTTCCAGGTGTTAATATGTGTCTTTAAATATGAATTTTTCCACTCCTTGTTTTATATGCTTTAGTGTAAGAACACTGGATGAATCAGATTTGAATGTGTTACCATGGATATATTTACAAGGATATGGATTAAAAAAATATGAGCTGCAACTTTGATGTGGAAATTTTTGTTGCAATATTGTAGTTAATTATTTCAATGATTAAAAAAAAGAATGTTTATAAACTACTATTGTTTACTGGTATATTTGTGATGGAAGAAGTACTAAGAAGCTTTGATTGAAGCAAAATTACATTACTGTCATCCTGTACAATATAGATTTTTTTTTATATAATACTATAGATTTCATTGTACAGAAATCTTTCTTCTGTAAAAATTTTAATACTTTATATTAGTCTAATTGATCATAAAGGTTTAAATTACAGTTGAACTTTGGTATCTCAAACACGGATATCTCGAATACAATGGATATGTCGAAGTGATTGGAAAGTCTCAAGCCCTTTTTCTTTAAGTATTTTACCCTCAATATCTCGAACCCACGGATATCTCGAAGTTTTTTTTTCGTGGTCCCATCAAGTTCAAGATAACAAGGTTTGACTGTACATACAGATTTATTATGATAACAGGACATTTTAACAGCAAAATAAAATTCTCAAAAATGCAGCTCATATTGCTTTAATCAGCTACTAAAGACCAACCAAAAACAAAAATCCACTAACAACAATATTAAAAATATAGAGTAAAAAAAATGAAAAGATGAACAAAAAAGAGGTCCACTGGCCAAAAAGCTCACTTGAGTCACTATTCTCTTCCAGAAAAGAGGAGTATGTACAGGGTGTTTCAAAAAAAAAAAACAGACCCTGACTTTGTTTTTTAATGTACATGTTGAAAAATGAAACCTCTCACTGTCATCTCCAAATAAAAGTCTGAAATTCCAAATATTTTAATATAGAGTAATATGGAGGCTAGATGTTAACTTAACAGACTGCTGCATTCTTATTCTTCTGGATGTCAATATATTTCTGCACAAAACTTCAATAAGTTTTTTTTTCACCAATCAATGCCCAAACCTAGTCCCATAGGCCATGCATTGAACAAACTTGAACCTGTATTGTCTGAGAATTCCCACCTATCTATCTATGAATAACTAAGACCCTGCTTTCCTTAAAAAAAATCTACATTATATGGATATGCTTGAATATTTATAATTTGGCTTTCTGTGGCTCTGTTCTCCAACTAAAATGTTTTTATGGATTTTTAAAAGATTTGCACAAACTTGAATCTTCACTCATAAAGAGGCTTTAACATGTTCTATCTTTTCTGGACCATTCCTTCTTGAGGAGAAGATTTTTCAATGATATTGCAAAATTTTCTTTATTTCTTAATTATCTCCCCTCCATATTTCTTCATAATCTCCCCTTAAATAGGATATGGCCATCCACTTGAACAAACATGAATCCCCTTCAACCAAGCATACCCTGAGCAAAGTTGTTGAATTGCCTGTCCTAGTTGAGCAAAAGTTTAAAATGTAAATAGGTAAACTACAACAAACGACATCTGATAGAAGGAAGCCAATCTCATTTTGATCCTTTGCCACTATTAAGTTAATGATTTAAGTATAAGGTCAAGAGACAAAAATGAACCAAAGATTTTCTTACATCTGGGAATCCATGATAAAATTCTAAGTTCCAAGACACCTTGTCCTTAATTCCTTTAAGCATAAATATGACCTCTCATCCCCACCCAAACTCACACATGACAATTATGAATCCCCACCCTACCCCAATGGGTCATGATTTGAACAAACTTGAATCTACACTACCCAAGGATAATTCCACATAAATATGACTAATCATGCTTTAAAGATTATTAATATGTATTAATTACTAAGTTGTTTTTGCAAGTGTATGTTCACTCCAAGACACCAAATTCAACCTTTCCAGTGCTTCAGGTTTTAGCAAAAGCAGTATATAAACTGACCCCATATGTAGAGCTTCTGCAGCACTACAGTGACAATTAATAATAAACAAACTGCTCCAACATACATTTGAAAATAAAAACAAGAGGTCCATAGGCCAGGTCGCTCACCTGAGCACTTTGTTTAGAGAAAAGCAGAAATCATTTCAGTATTGAAAAGTTTAAATATATAAGAAAGCTTGTGTTCCACCCTGCCTGGGGAGGGACAAGAAGGGGGTAATGATTTGAACAAACTTGAATCTACACTAGCTGAAGATGCTTCCATATTTATTTAACTAAACATGGCTTTAAACGATTTTTACAGATTTTTTCCTTTATATACATATGTAAAACTTTGAACACCTAATTTGGCCCCATCCTAGCCCTGGGGGGTCATGATTTGAACAAACTTGATTCTACACTATGCAATGAAGCATTCACTTGTTTCATCTTTTCTGGCACCGTGGCAATTAAGAAGATATTTAAGATACCATTAAATTTTCACTTATTCTTAATTATCTCCTCTTGAAAGAGGTTGTGGTCCTTCATTTAAACTAACTTAAATCCCCTTCACCCAAGGATACTTTGTGGCAAGTTTGGCTGATATTGGCCCTGTGGTTCTTGAGAAGAAGACGAAAATATGAATAGTTTACAGATGACAAATGACACACAACAGATAGACATGGGTCAGTCTTCGATCAGAATAGCTCACTTGAGCCTATGGCTCAGGTGAGCTAAAAAACTAGATGAGAAAGACCCTCTTTGATAATCATTGTACTGAAATAACACCTGGGGAAAAAATCCTGTGATTCATGAGAAGTCACCTCTGCAGAATACTTTACAATATAAACCTTTTCCCATCACAATTACTTTTCTTGGATCTGTTCACTTACTTGTACCAGCAAACTCCTGCCATGATGAGGCCAACAAAACCAGCCAAGCTGCATGCTGTCACAATTCCTACAAAATTTATATCAGACAATGACAAAATGTTCTCCCTAAACATGCTAAAAGACAGAAATATATAGAACTTCAGTGTCTCATTGATATGTACGTCAAACTAAGGTGGTGATCTTGGACTTTTTAATCCGTAAGTTTTTCTGACATTTTGCAACAACCATTAAACCTTTGAATGTTACAATACATGTAACTGTTTCTGAGGATAAATCAGACTTCAATGTATTTGAATTTTACATAAGAAATCAAAGAAAAAAAATCAATTATCAGATAGGTTACTGGTATGCTAAATGTGAATCAGGTCACAGATCAAACTATAATCAAACATCTTTTCTATTTTTAGGCATATTCCATTAATCACTTATTTAGCATTTATATGCTTTTCTGAATTTGGTAAACTTTACTAATTCAAGATAGAAATAAACAAAAATCATTATTTAATACAATATTACAGACTTCCTTTCATATTTGTGAAAATTCAAACACTGACAGCTGGGAATAGAAAATGACATAGCTAAAGATTGTCAGCCCTAAATATAATAATTAAAAAAAAAAAGATAATATTGGCTTAATCTCCAACCTATAAAGAGAATGCTATCTTTTGACAAAGGAATGAGGGGTTTCTCTTTGGAGTCTGGGTCTGGCTGTACGTGGGGTTGAGGAGCCTTAGGCATGGGGTGTGGGGTGGGAGTGGTCCCATCTGAAGACACTGCTTTGGTGGTTTCCACCTTCTGTTGGTACTGGTCCTCCGCTGCCAGATCTATCCCAGCATCCTCATCTTTTACTTTCTCACTCTCCACATTTTCATCAAATCCATTCTGAACCAAATCTTTAAGTCGAACACCATCTACAAAATAGCCAAGCAGATCAAAACCCAATCTATGCATGTATGTCAAAACCTCCCACTCACTCAAAATTTTGTTCCATTTATGGCCTTCTTTAAGTCAATCACATTCCTTTTCTTTCCAATTAATGTCCATCATCTATTACAATTTAGGATACTTTTCCACTGCACAGAGCCACTATAAATTTTTCAGAGTGACATCTTAAAGAAGGCCAGATATTGTCCGACTTTAAATAATCATGATTCCAATACCTTATTTTGCAAAAAATTGGTCAGTTGTAGAAGTTGTTCTTTGTGTGAAATATATAACTTTAAGGTTTACAATGTTATGCTCAAATTATATTTGTTCATAGACTGTCATTATTAGAACACTTTTGTTATGACAAGTCAAACTTTCTTATTGGCAATAATCTCCAGTATGCCTACATCTTATGTTTTAAAATCCATATTTTATATGAAAGGCATATCTGACCACTTTAAATACAGATATATGTTGTAATAATTAATGTTCTTTATGAGATCCAATACATATAAACTTGTTGTTGCTACATTAATTTACTATCAATAATTTATACCGGTAATCTTAACTGGTGCTACCTACAGATACCTAAAATAAAATTGCAATTTTCAGAAAATAAAATATATGATTAGATGGACCAATTTTCCATTGTTTACCACTGTAATAAGAGTGTCCATATGTACCCACAGTCTCAATTATAATGACTTGTCAGGTCAATGCCTCTTTTGTCCTCTTCCATTAGTAAATAGGTTCTTGACCTTTTTACAAAGCTCTGTCTTGATGGTCAATTTATAATCATCAGTACTGTTCATGTTATTAATGGCCCAACTATGTTTTATGTACTTATTTATGTAATTAAAGAGTAATGTTAAGCTGTATTTCAAATGAAAATAAGTTACATCTATTAAATGGATCTAATTTCAAATTATTAGCTGTGTTCTTTTATGTCTTTGGCCTCTAAAGTCTCAAATACTTATTATATCCACAAAAAAAATCAATCATGATTAATTTATCCCTGCAAAATTATACATTTAATAAATTACAAATTATATGTATCAAATAGAATGATATAAATATTAAATATTTTATGACTAGAGAATACATCATTGTATTATTGTAATACACAGAACAAATCAAATCCACCAAACAGTGGATGGTTGTTAAAATTTGACAAAATGCAGGTACGTTTATTTTTGACAAGTTCTATCTATTGAAACAAATTTTAAGGTTTAGATTGCTACAATTTGTGAAAGTTTTTTTTTAACCTTACCTATATACACCTTAATTAGTAGAAACTGACTTCTAATACAGATCCTTTCTGATTTTAAGGACATACTCAACGTACCTTACCTACTGATAACTTTTCAAGATATTCATAATTTAAGATTATAGTGCCATCAGATGTTCGTATACAAAAAAATCAGCATGCATTACCAGGGGTTACAATCTAATTAAAATTGGATGTTCCGAATCCGCTACCGCTTCTCAAACCTGATTGGCTAATTCTGAAATGTTTATTCACATCTGAAAGGTCGTTCTGATGTGACCCCGTATGGGATGTTGTTAGATGTTCCAGAAGCGGTAACGGATTCGGAACATCTAATTTTAATTAGATTGCAGGGCTTATGAAAACATCAATTGATGAAAATTCTTGTCTAATTTCAAGAAAAAATGTACGAAAATTACTAAACATATAATCTAGATGTTTTGTTTATCCAAACTTGTTTTAGAAGAAGTATACAACAGCATATATAGACATCAAAATGTAGCACACATTTCCTTTCAGTATTGGAACTCTTCAACTCCATTGAAAATGACAATAAAGTTCAAACTATGTTGCGTATGTCCTTAAGGACAATACGACTACAACTATTCATAGAGTATAGAGAGGGAGTGAGTATGGTTTGATTTAAGAAAAAAAAAATTAAGAATTTTAGATCTTGGCAGATGTTTACTTTTCTTGACATGATTTTCCTTTTAAAGTAATTTTAGAATTATGTATTACTATGTAAAATTTCAACCCCTAATGGCGGCATGGCTGCTCACTGATCCACGTAAACAAGGAGCCAAAGGCCGAACACACTTTTATCTACTCAACTCTTAGACAAATCTGCTTTATCTGATAGAGTTGTTCTATAAAAAAAATGTAACCTAAGTCATTCTCCTCTTTTTTTTTTTTTTTTTTTTTGCAAATCTCCATGAGAGGACAGGGCCCTTCACTGAAGAAAAAGAATCTCTTTCAACAAATATGAATGTGTGTAATGGATCTAAAGAAGAGCTTTTTCTAGCTACTTATTAGGGCTAGGACGATATATCGAGATATCGATAATATCGATTCAATGTGAGGATGATACGCATATCGATACGTATGAAGAAATATCGACATTTCGCCCAAAAAAATCTGACTCATGTTTTTCTTTGTTTACTTAACATTTTGGGTTTAATATCTAAAATAAATATGCTTAATTTAAATATAAATATGAAATACACAATAATTAAGATCACTTGTGCAAAATAATTAAGTTTTACAACAGATATACAATTTCTTTGAATAATTTATTCTTATTTGCGAAGAAATGTTTTGTTCATTTCAATATAAAAAAAGAAGTTATAACCAATTAAACATATCGTGATACATATCGTATCATGGCTCAAATATCGGGATACGTATCGATATAGAAAAAGTTGTATCGTCCCAGCCCTACTACTTATTAGTAGATTTTCTCAGTTATTTCCCTTAGCTTCGAGTCAAAAATGTAAACAGTAAATGATGGGCAAAGTCTAACACATTCAGCATCTGGCTATCATGTTTTAAATATACATATTGTCAAAAACAATTGTCAAACCTCCAATTTCCAGCTTTTCATATCTTTTAAGTAGTTTGATCAACTCTTCATTATCTGAAATTGAAAAAAAAAGATTTACATGTACTACATATAGTAGATAAACACATATGATAATGTTATTGCAAACTTCTCATACTGCAACTAACAACAACAAGTTAAATTGATGCAAAGTATCAAATTGGCCGCAAAAAATATATTTGGCATTAATTTTAAAGTATTTCCACAAGAAAGAGTCCAAAGAAAAAAATTCAAAGTAGCAAAAGTATATGATACAGTTTTATTGCAAACTTCACACTTGTGTTACTTTTCTGTGAAATTGTTTATACTTTACTTTTCAGTGATCAATTGTTGAATATTAATTAAAATACATAATTTCACGGAAATGAAAATCTGACTGCACCTGATTAAGGATAGGAATGTATTATCATTAAATTATTTGATTCAAAGACAAATGCAACAAATATTATTAATTATGACTGTCTGAACGCTGACAAAAAAAAGGATGCACAGATACCCTGGAACTTAGTCACGTGATAATGCCAATAATATGAATCACAATAAATAAAAAGTGCAGAAAAAAATCATTGTGTCATTTGCAACTGTACTGTATTCAAAACAAATTCAGTCCTTCCTAAAACTGTTACAATTTATTATTATTGACACTAAATTCACATCCCGAAAATTATTATGTTGTATTTTTATATCTTACACACACCCATGTTGGGAAGCAGCTAGTTCATGTAACAACTTTTTATAGAATCATAAATTAATAAATATCTGATGAGATATGAAAAACAAACTGCAATGTAATAATAACCACTTATAATTAGTATTACGCAAATTTAAAAACTTTTATATATGTTATCAATAAGGAATTTTTCCATTGAAGCAATGAAAAAAAATAACGTCTCATTTCCCCATACGTACATTCTAATACAACCACATTGTCAAATAGATCGGCCACAGGAGTGGTCAATAATTACAAAAGTTGTGGACAGAATTTTAGAAATTTTGCAATTTTATGTCCCCCCTCATCATGTGTTCATCTACATCATAAAGACATGAAAATTAGAAATTTAAATTTTGCTCCATGAAAGCATAGCAAATAATTTTTGCTTTGCAGAAGAGTGATTTGAACACCTCAATACTGAATGCAACTCTTTATCTGTAAAACTTTGCATAAGAATAGAGAGCACCTATGCTGTTTTAAAAAAAAAATGTGAAACTTCGCATTAGAACAGAGAGTACAAATGTGTTTTAAAAAACTGTGAAAGAAAGAGCATCATAGCTAGTTGCCATTTTCAAAGTAGCCATTTTTGTTCACTGTACATGCAAACAGTGACCAGTTATAGTAGCAATTCAAATTTGTGATAGAAAATTAGCCGATAAAACAGCAATAATTGTGGAGTTACAAAACTACCATGTACAATCAACTTTCACCTTTAATCAATTAATTTCACAATTGCTTTCCATTTTGTCATTTCAGATTTATATGACAGTTAAATGGCTGTTCCTTCAAAAAGAAGCATTCTAAATTTAGTTTAATGGCGACTGAAATGATCATGCTTCTGATATCAAAGCAGGTCAATACATCTGTTGACGTCAATACTGACCCCAATATAAAAGAAAGTCAACTTAAAATCCACATATCAAAGACTATGAAGACTAAATGAAAACTTGCTGTTTAACAATGTTCTCAATGAAGATGTACTCAGATCAAACAACTAAAATCGGCTACTAAAAATGAAATATCATGCTACCTAACACAATACAGTCCCGCAGTGTAACGTGAAATATGACAATATGGTTTAGCTGTATCGTTACACCCCCACTTCATGATATATACTTAACAATTCAATTCAAACAATTTTGCCTTTAGTATGCTTATATATCAATATTTTTTCATTCCCAAAAGTTAAAGCCAAATAAAGGCCTTTTCCCCTCTTGATTCTACTAGTTAATTTCCCAAAAATCTTCAAGATTTCACTCCATTAATTAAAATTAATTTAATATCAAACAGTGCACAAATTTTCCCAAATGAAAAGCAAAAAGGTAGTTTTGAAAATCAGTGTCATAAAATACATAACGTTGCTCTGCACAACAAATCATATACCGGTATTACATCTGAAATATGATCATACATGAGTATACTAAGTAAATACATGTTCATGTACTTAAAAATTCAGTTATAAAATAAAGGAATTCCATTGATATTTATTTAAAGGTATTGAAATGATAGCAACAACCAATAAATGATCTAGGTGACCTGATCATGCTGATAAGCATAATGAAGGATATCCTGTTCATAAATATCACTGTGGGACACACAAAATAATACCTACGTATATATTCTATGCATTAAATATATATATGATTGGAATACCAAAGCATCACCTGATATACGTTTATCAGATTACTTTTTTCAGAATACAATTAGGACAGTTAGGCGACTTAAAAATTTAAAAAATCATAAAAACAATAGAACATGTACATTGATTATATAAAATTTTTGTAGCATGTATAAATTTTATAGATAAACTTGTAACATTTTTCAGATATATCTCCACAGGGTCTGATTCATCACCATGCCAACAGTTAACACCTTGGACCAGGTGAGGCCTACAGCAAATTGTTCAGCAAAGATACAGCTGATTCTGTGCTATTTCAGATTGCCTTTTTAATGTTTGAGCATTCATTTTCCTTAATATAAGATCATTTTTGGGGGGTAAACTTCATAGTTTAAATATGTTACTAGTGGTAGTGCTTACTCTAGACTTGGAGTTCAAACAACTGCTGCACATATCTGATAAGAATTGGTCTAACTACAGGTGTTAGATACCCTAATCAGATAGTATCAGATAGTATCATAACAAAGTATATAGAAAAGAAGTGGCTGTTATCAATAAGAGATTATACAGGTGACAGGCCGATAGTCTTGCTAAAGTCAGTCACTGTTTTAGATGGCATTCTTGCAGAATCTGTTTTAAATTAACAGAATGCAACACTGACAGTGTCATCAATTTAAAAGAAACTTGAATACAAGCTGATTAATTTTTTTTGGTGACAATCCTATTCTATGCACTAGCTTCTGTAACTTTTTTCAGATTTTAGATTAAAACATTGTTTTAGATGGAAAATGAAAAATGAAAATGACTGACAGTACAAGTTCAACATTCAGATTAAAGAAATGAGTTGCATGGATATGAAATATATTTCATGAGTGGTACAGGATTTTTTTTTTTTTTTTTTTTACATTTTCATGCAAAGCATAAGCAAAATACAGAAAAATAGAAAAATCAGAAGTATCTGATGAGACTGTAGCTCTACTGCTGTGTACTTATAATAAAGAAAGATGTATCTTTATATAGTCTACTTGTGTACCAAGTCTTATCAAAATTTAACCAACACTGTAGGAAGAGAATTTTAAAGAAATGTCTATTTTTAGTATTCTAGGCCAGTACACCATTCACTGAAATCAAAAACAGATACATAGAATAATGTATCATAGTGTAGTATACTTGTTTCAAGTCTTATTGACGTTGGATGAAAACTGAAGGAGGAGCAACATTTTAAAAAATTGTTTACAGACAGGACAGACAGATGAAACACACTCAGGTACTAATGCATAAGCTTCTCTGGTCTCTGACCAGTAGAGCTGTCTCAAGATTGAAATAGTCATTCCATATCCAACAACAAAACATTAAATTTTCTGTTTATTACAATTCTTTGGGTTTTCTTTCCTTTGGTCCCTTTGGCCTCTGGGATGTCTTCATATCACAGTGACACAGGTTTATTGTCACTGCCTAAGAATTTGCGACATATCATAGCTATGTGATTGTAAGATTGAAAATTGTGCAGACCTTTAGATCACATTAATAAACTAAAGCTGACAAATTTGGAGTATAAAAAACCATAAAGGTATAGAATTTCTCAGATAGGGTACCCAATTCAACCAGTGAAATACTAATATTAGTAATAAACCAAAAGAAAATTATCTAAAATAATAATCATACAATCTTTTCATATCTACTCAAATATAAACAATCTACATTACTCCCAAAGTCCATTTCAAAATTCTGTATAATTAAACTTTCGAAGATACCAAAATTGACGTATTTTTCTTTACTCAAAATCAGCTTTGGCCTCTGCATGGTCATCCATATGTATATGGCTATGTGTTAACTGCAGTGATCAATTGCATAGTATGTGCATAATCTTTCAACATTTTTAAGTCAAAAAATTACACATTGTCCACAATTTACATTTTTAAAACTGTTGTTGTTTACTTGGTAAGACCATGTGATCAAATCAGATATAATTTTGAGGGAACTAAGTGTAAATAAGCCAATTTTTTTGTAGAGAGTACTGATTATAAATTCTGGGGAAAATTCGGCCTCTTTACAAATAGTTTCAATGAAGCTAGTTTTCAGTAAAGAAAATTAGGTCAAATTTGGAACTGATTTCAGCATAACTTGGTAAGTATGCAGAATTTTGAAATCTAGTTGTAATGTAGACTGCTTATATGTTAATATACATGTATATGAAAAGACAGTATAATTTTAAATCTTTTTGTTTATTAGTATTTCTTCAGTATATTAGAGTACCCTATCTGAGAAAATTCATCCCTTTACATTTTTTACATCCTTAGTTTGTCAGTCAGATAAAACAGATCTAAGGGCCTGTGAAAAATCATAAACATTAACACTTTTCGTGAAATGGAGAGATTGATATCAATATCAATTTTCATATATTTCATTGTGAAAACATCACCTGTAAAAAAAATATCACTTTTATTCAAGGGATATATTGCAGTATTTCACTGCTGAAAATGTTATAAACATATTGTATAAAATATAATCTCAAAGCATTTGCAAAGAACTTATAACCACATTAGCAGTCTATTCATAAGTAAAATGCCAATGACAAACATAGTTATAAACATGACAAAGTGCTTATGAAATGAAACCAGGATTTTATCTTGTGAACAAGATAAGCATTGGAGATTTTAACACGGTAGAGTATTGCTCCTTTTATCTAACTTTTAATTTCACAAGTTACAAATGATAAACCAAAAGTGAAAAGTATATGCTGTCCTATTCCTATTATATCAAACTTCCTCACATAATTTCAGATTTACAGAATGTAAAATCATGCATTATCTTTTAACTTAAATAAGATTTTTATATAAAAAATCATCTTAAAATAATAATCAAGCTAGATATACATCATATTCAAAAGAAAGGAAAGTGAAACTGATCTGCAGTATTCACTCAAATAATTAGCCAAATCTTTTATTTCTGATCCCCCCTTCCCCCCCCCCCTTTTTTTAAATTAAAAGTATAAACAAAAACGAGCAAAACATACAAAATTGTCAGGAAGCAGGGATCCCCTTAAACCTTTTCACTTTGTTTCTGCACCACAGTTAAATACTTAGCACCACAGTAAAATTCCACTGAAAAATTTATCACATACACCTTTTCAAGATCTGCCACTGATACAAGGGTCTGCTTAGAAGACCAGCTTTTTTCCCTTTTAAGTTATATAATAAGTAACTGTTACCAATAAACAGTACTATTTTCAATGCCAAAAAACATAATTTTTCCCAATGCTGAGATTAAAAATTCTCAAATAAAATGTCAAGAAACAAACTGATGACATAGATATGCTGAATAAGTTGACCATAACAGAAAATTCTCCTTTAATTGTTCTATTTCAAAACTATTTTTCCCAATTGAATCAGTACCAGAAGCATTCTAGTTGGTAGAATGCTGAAGACAGTGGTAATTATTCATGAAAAATGAATAAAATTTAATATATAGTTACTTGTATATGTCTAGCCCAGCTTTTGGTTTTGCATGTCATTAATTATGTCAAAATGTCATTGATCTAGCTCCTACAATACGTATACATCAACATGTCATACTAACAATTTGATCACCTTAAAACTGTTCAAACATTATAAGTCAAAGAAAAAGTTTGAATGTTGGGCAAGCCTGTTTGATATAGAAACTTTTATTAACTGAGACATAATTTTATTACATTTTCAAGAATGAAATACTGTAATTTATTTATTGAATAAAAGTGATATTCTCTCACAGTGTGAAAGGATACCAAAGTGATATTCTCTCACTTGTGAAAGGATATCAAAGTAAGTACAAAATAATTTCTGGCCTGTAATAAGATAGAGATAGTAACTAAACCATTTTGAGATAGACTAAAACTACCAATTTCTTCCTAAATATGTTGCTAACATCCAATGTGTTACAATGATTTCAAACTCACAACTGCTAAGCTATATGACGTCTTAACTGTTCAACTATAACGTCACAGCAAATGACACTGTGTTCAGAAAGACAGAGGCAAAGGGAAAATCAAAGAAAATGTAATAAACTGAAAATTCAATGTTTTGTAGTGGATATGGAATTTATTTCACGAGTGGGACAGGATTTTTTTTTTTATTTTCACTTGTGCTTCGCACTCTTGAAAGTATCAAAAAATCCTGTCCCACTCGTGAAATATATTCCATATCCAACTACAAAACATTATACATCCTCTACATATACAGTTAAACTTCAGTATGTAAAACATCAAATAATCCAATATCGAATACCATCATTACCATGGTCATTATGTATATGTCAAAGTGAGTTGAAAGTCCAAACTATTTGTCCTTTATAACCTATTTTAACATCAATATCTCGAACCTCAAACAACCTCAGATAACCGTTTTTCCTCTGTCTCTTTAAGTTTGAGATAGCAAAGTCGGACAATAATTTCTATGGTATTTTTGTTTGGTATAATTAATAAATTTATACCAAACAATGTTTCCTTATCAGCCCTTAAGCTAGGGCTTAATTTTGTCAATTTGCAAATATGATTTCGTTGTTGAATAACTCAATTAAAATTCCAGGATTTGCGCAAGAAGATTAATTTTTAATTTTAACAATATAAAACAAACACGAAATAGCAACATTTCAATAAATATCAGTAAACTTACCATATCTGTTGGGAAATGATTTACATACATTGCACGAAAGTACAACTATCAACCCTAAGATGACACGGTTGATGATCATTTTAACCACACTAGATTAATATTTTCGTCTCTTGTTCTACATATTCACTGATTTAATCCGTAAACCTATCTGCCATTGTGGCCAACTTGGTCCTTCTCTTCGATTTTTCCTGAGAGACAAGTGACGTCACACCAATTACTCCCTTCATACTATAGATAGATCGGTCGTTAGTATGTCGTAGCAACATTGATTTCGAAAACCTAAATACCTTATGTACATGGTCAAATTTTCAAATCCTTCTCAACTTCTCAACAGAATTACCAGAGGTTCAACAAAGACTAAGATTTTTTCCTTTTTATTTTATTATTTTTTTTTTGGGGGGGGGGGGTCACCTTTGAAATTCTTATTCACCATGTCCCTGTTCAAATCAAAACTTTCATTTTGGTTGGAGGTTGAAGTGAAGTGAGATTTAGCTTTATTTATCTTCAGAACCCCCCTTTTAAGAAATGGGCGGATCTAATGAGGGTTTTCATATAATTTCCATGGATTTATGTCTATGAAACAAGCCTAAAAATGTCAACCTCTCCTTTTAAAAAAGTAGACACCTACTAGGGCCTCAAAAATGGAGCTAAATAGGCATATGAAGTTAAGTCCCACCAATCACACGCCAACCCTATGCACGAAGGAGGAATTTGCGTTTACCTGTGGAAATTTAAATTAATTTTGTTTAATTTTTAATTTGGGCGAGAAATTTTATTGTCTGAATAGCACACTTTGCAAAAGTTGCTTCCTTTTGCGGGTCCACCAAAAGGTCAAGAGGGGAAAAACGATACCGTTTCTCTTCTTTACATTCGCGCATGCTACGATAAATTCTTAAGTCTTTTTTTTTAGCAGTTTAGTGTATGGATTCCTGGGGCAATAAAAATGCAAGATCCAACTATTATTTAAGTCAAATGATAAAGTTACAATCCTGAAAATTACAAAAGCAAGTGTGAGAATTCTATGTTTTTACTCCAAAAAAGACGGCCAGCCGGCAATGGGACATAACTTTTTAAATGTGTGGATTCAACTATAGACTCCCTTCCCGGTTTGAAAAATTCCAGAATACGTCCTTGAATATCTCTTTTTAAAAAAAAAACAAAAAACAAAACAAAACAAAAAAAACATGCAGCTTATTATTTCAACTACATTGATGGTCTTGCAACTCTTCTCGTCGTAGACGTCTGCCTCGCCTTCTCTCTTTTTATGTATCAGTCGAAAAAATAAGAAAAAAGGTGACTCGACCCCAGATTTAAAAAGAACAAAAATGGAAAAGAGGGGGGAGGGTCCATACCCCAAGTGCCTGTGGTGGAATGAAAATATAGCTATATGGTTTACAGCAGTTGTGTCCCTAAATAATTTTGCTAGTATATATACAACTGTACTATATACATTAGACAGCAAAGCTGGTTTACGGGTAAAAATCTGGTAACCTCCTTTTTTTTTTCTTTAGGTTGCGCCCAAATGCCGTAGGCCTTGATTATTTTGGCATATCCTCTAGGTGCCTGTTGGAAGTCCTACGGACCCGGTTTGGTGAGGGCCAGTCCCAACTCGGAGACAGATATTCTAATGCACTAGATGCCTGTATGAATGCAATGAATAAAAAGAAATATCAAAATCATACATACATATTAAAACTATACGTTTGTCTTACAATCTATACGTACGATGAAGATTTTTTTTTTAAGTTATTCATACCATATTTATTGAAAAGCTGCAATTTGTACTACACGTTTACTTATAGTACCGATGTTGTTCCATACATTTTTTTATAACTACGAATATTTTTGGTATGCACTGTCTAATAAATTTTGTTTATTTACCTTTGACCTAAATAAACATCAACAATGACCTGAAATGGCGACAGATGAAGAGATTATTTTTGAGGTGTGAACAAGTGATATTTTGTTGATAAGAAAAGGTTATGATTGTTAATGTGAAGGATTTTATGATCAGGTTTGATATATTCAAAGATTTGTTTGTTATTGATTCCGGACATAGCGAAGATTGTGTTATTTTTTCGTAAGCCGATAACGCATATATTGCAAGCTCGTGTTTCAGGTCATTTTACCTCAACATTTTTTAGATTTCTATGTGTTTTATAGTATAATTCTCATGTACAATAGTGTGGGATGGACTTTGTAACTTAGACAAATGGATATCAATCCCAAACTACAGCATGTACCACTGTTCACACCTAAAGTTACAAAGTCACGAGAATTATATTGTACTTGATGCAATGATTCATCACTTAGCTGTTACAAAGTACCTAATGTTATTTTGTTAACTGTTTACATATGTATATATATATATTGTACATGTCATTGTTTCTGTCTCTCTAGGTCGGGAGCTGGATTAGTTTGAAAGTTTAAAACTGAACATCACAATTATTTTATAATTTATTTGGAATATAAATTGAAAAGCATATATAGTTACACTTACATTTATTTAAAATGAAAAAGAAAAAAAAAATCATCTATAGTATGAACTTCTCAATATCTGTAAGCTTGAAAATCAAAAGTTTTACAAATCTGTTTAAATGCACAATTTTTAAAATCTAATACATGTAGCAAAAACAACCAACCAAACAATGCCTAGTGTTTGAAATCAGCAGGGATTCAATTAATACACTGGTCCCCGGGGCCTCTGCATGTATTCATTGGTCATTCCAACATTAACACATCATGAAAACAATTTAAATGGGGGAAAAGGTTTAAGGGTATGTTCAATTGTGTTGAGCAGCAATTCAGACAATTTACTTGGATCTTACAGTGTTTGTCTTATAAACAGCAGTGTGTATTTTTTTTTTATTTTTGCAACCATTATGTTAATACACTTTTGAAAATGACTTGATTTAATTGACACGCTGTTTCTACTTGAAATTACACTTCTCTGTTGCACCTACTGACACTGGAAATACACTGTTGTTCAAGTTTAGGCTGTACTTGTATTTGATTTCCAGAGATTTTGGAGATGAGGATCTCCTTCCTGAAAATTTGAATGTTCATTAGATGATGCTGTCCACCAGATTAAAGAGCAAAGGGATATTTTTTGTTTTGTGTCTAGAAAATGAATGTGTAATTTGCTTTTCAGGATCATCTGTATAAACTATCCGGAAATAAGGGAAAGGGATTTTGGTCGAAGAGCAATCCCTGGAAGCAGAAATATTTCATTCTTAAAAAAATAGGAGATAGACCAGTTCTAGAATATTATAACAAAAAACCTAAAAGTAAAAATTCAAGTTCACCTAAAGGTAAATTGGATGACTTTTCTACAAATAAATTTTGTTCTAATTTTTTCAAATATTTTGAATCTTTCCATCACTTGTCATGTTACAATCTTACAACTACTAGTATATGGTATAACTTAAAAATATCATACAGCTACTGTAGTAAAAATAATAAATCAAGATTTTGGTTTAACAGATAAAGTAGTGCTATGGCCAAGCTACAGATTAGAGAAAGTGACCAATACTCGAAACCGAGCCTATGTGTTCGAAGTGACCACTCAGGACAAATATTTGTGTTTGTCAGCAGATGAGCAAAGGAGCATGGATATATTTGTCTTTATTCTGCAGAGTCAAATGCAGCTCAAGAAACAAATCAAAGGTATAAACTTGTCATTTAGTATACCCAATACTGAAAGGTAATCTGTAGAGACTTCTCTGATTTTTGGTAAGGAAAATGTTATCTCAAGTACACTTGGTACCCATGTACATTTGATTATTTGGTTTCTCTGCTTTATGCATCCTTTGCATCTTTTTATTAAGTTGCTAAACGTGACAAAGCTATAAATGGAAGCACTTGTAGATTGGGCAGATATTTACTAAAACATTTGCTTACGAAAGACTTAAAACATGTAGTTATATATGTGTAAATATTCTTTTGGTATTTTATCTCTGTTATTTACCATTTATGGATGTAGAAAAAATTAAGTTTTTGTATAGACACATCCCTTGATTTAAATTAAGTAAATGCACTTGTGTTATATATTTGTGTGTTTTGCATAGATTTGACACACTGCTCTGATGTGTTATTTCTTGACTTTTTCAGATGATATGATCATTGTTCAGCCAGAAAACTCAGAATCTCAAAGAAGGATTGGTGCAAAGGGAACAAACTGTATTCTACATGTAGCACCATGGGGGATAACTCTAGCATTACAGGTATGATGCTTGCAGAATTTTTACAAATACTAAAACAATAAAAATTGATTGATGCATGTGCTAGTTTGGAGTCAAACATATTTTAGATCTAGATGAATTGCATTTAACTTTGTAATATATTTAACTTTTATTTTTGGAGTTTGAATTGTCATCTCTGCTGAGTCTTTATAGAGTGAGACCCATATTGTTGATTATATTGACTCTTTCAGAGTACAAGATCTGTTCTGGCCCAGTGGCCACTGAAGAGTGTGCGGTACTTTGAAGCAGGTGGTCAGGGAAAGTTTATGTTGGAGGCAGGGAGGGTTGCTCCAATGGGGGATGGCATGTATGTCTTCCAGACCCAGAAAGGCAAAGACAATTACATCTATGACTTGTTGGATCAACATATTGTTAATGCTCTTAGCAAAACACAGGTGTGTTTGTTCGAATAAGAAAATATGGGACAAAACCTAATGTTTGCTTTCGACATTAAAAACTTTGTTTTACCTAAAACCTATTTTGTCAATCATAATGAAAGATGCCAAAAAAAAGTTAGAATTTATTTAATTGTAAAAGAAGAAAGTTCACCTTAAATTATGGTTGATTTTTGACAAAATAACACAAAAAACTTAATTCAAGATTTGCCTAAAAAGCTAAATCACTCTTCATCATCTTAATTTCTGTAGCATCATTTCACAATTTTTTAAAGGAAGACATCCAGATACATGTATCATTTATAATCTGATACATTGATTTATTTCTTTGTATGCATGGCATACAAACAAACTGCATGAAACTGTATAAATGTGTCATAACTTTGACATTTTATCTGACAGCCCAGTCGCCGAGGAACAACAGAAGAGATGGAGGATTATATAGTGGAATCGGAGAAGTTATCTGCCCTTACCACAATATCACCAGTAACCGTTATCCAACCAGAAATTGTCAAAATTCTCCAGGAGAACTGGAACTTTATATCTGTAAATGCTGGTCAGTATCTCACTGAAGTATGTTAGAATGCTGGTCAGTATCTCACTGAAGCATGTTAGAATGCTGGTCAGTATCTCGCTGAAACACATTAGAATGGTGGTCAGTATCTCGCTGAAACACATAAGAGTGCTGGTCAGTAACTCACTGAAACACATTAGAATGCTGGTCAGTAACTCGCTGAAACACATAAGAATGCTGGTCAGTATCTTGCTGAAACAATTAATATGCTGGTCAGTATCTCGCTGAAACACATTAGAATGCTGGTCAGTATCTAACTGAAACACATTAGAATGCTGGTCAGTATCTAACTGAAACACATAAGAATGCTGGTCAGTAACTCACTGAAACATATTAGAATGCTGGTCAGTAACTCAAACACATTAGAATGCTGGTCAGTATCTCGCTGAAACACATGAGAATGCTGGTCAGTATCTCACTGAAACACATTAGAATGCTGGTCAGTAACTCACTGAAGCATGCTAGAATGCTGGTCAGTAACTCGCTGAAGCATGTTAGAAGCTGGTTAGTAACTCACTGAAACACATTAGAATGCTGGTCAGTATCTCACTGAAACAGATTAGAATGCTGGTCAGTAACTCACTGAACACATTAGAATGCTGGTCAATATCTTTCTGTAGCAAGATAGAATGCCTCTAGATTTTTAACACTGAAAAGTAGTAGATTTACAATATTCTGTTTAAATATTGCTTTGCTGTAAGAGTGAGCTGTAAGAAATTATGTAATGCTGTTGCCAATGCAATTTATCAATGATATTTATAACCATTATCTTTTGAAGGAATCCCCAAACCAAAGCCAGTTGTTCATGTCAGACAAAACAGCCAAATGTCAGACACGGGGTAAAAGTCTAATTTTTTTTGTAATATCTTATAATTGTATGATGATACTTTCAAATTCATTTCTGGATTTTGATTGAGTTTCATACAATCTGTCATTCACTACGTCACTTTCTCTTAATATAAGGTAAAGTTATACTAAAATTCTATGGTAACAAGTATTAGCTTGTTATCCATCATAGTTTGTTCATAAATGTAATGCTGAAACTCAAGGAAGTCATATAAAATGACTATTTATTGTAGCGCACCTCCTCCTCTCCCAAATCGACTTCCAGCACATCCCCCGCCAAATAGTCCAAATCATCACAGATCACCTGCTCAAGTAGTCAATCATGGATTTCACAACAGTGTGTCTGACTCTTTGCTGGAACGACCACCAATGCCACCTCCATCACCAGCTCGCTCATCCACCAGATCTTCCATACCAACTGACCGAGACTCTCAGACCAAACCACTGACCATACCAGCTGGGAATGCAAGAGTCAGTCAACATGGTCAAGCATACTTTCGGATGAATTCTAGCTCAAGCAGTGGAGTACCTCACAGCATTTCATCACAGTTTTCACCCATTGGAAACTGGACCCCACCTCCAACATTTCAGGAGGCTACTGCTTATAGTCTTATGGATGGAAACTCTACTTTAAATACGCAAGGTGGATATCTTACTCCAAGGCACAGCGGAGAAGTGGAGGCAAACCAGAGCTCAGGTTATCCAGAACAGTATATTCTACCGACACATGAACAAGATTCAGCACAATTCAGTAGTCTTCCTAGATCAAAACAAAGGAGAAATTCCAATGATAGACAAAGAACAACTAAGTATAGACTAAGGTCCTCAAGCTGTGACCAGTTAGACTCTTACAATTTAGATTCTGCTATGTCAGAGTCACCCAGAAGGAGAAGTGTGGATCAGGGAGGAGATAGACCTTATGATCTTGCCAAACCCCAGGCGCCATTTCGAAATCTGCACAATTTTAGAGGTAGCATGGAAATGATCAATGATAATAGGCGAGGGTCTATGGAGCATTATTACAATATCAATGGGTTGAAGGGAACTGTAGATGCTAGTCCAAATCCTTCTGTTGGTGAAGTGAGAAAGAGGTTCAATGATGTAGCTCGAGAGGACACTCTTACTAGATCTATTTCAAATCCCAACTTCATGCAAATCAGTACAAAAGACAAATTCAGTGATGCAAAAGCATACCCTAGCAAGCTGGATAGCAAACGTAAAAGTAAATCTTTGTTAAACTTATTTAGGAAATCCCGTGATGGAAAAGACAGAAGAAGTGTTGGGAGTAGTAGTAATCCCAGCAGTCCCGTAGGAACATTAACCAGACAGACTAGTATCCCACTCATTAGTATAGGAGGGAAAGATGTTTACTTCACCGAGAGATCCCGCTCATTTAGGAAACCCAAGAATAAAGGTACAGATAGCGCAGAAAATACTCCCCCTAACAGCAGACATAACAGTTATAGTAAGGCATCTGCCAGAGATTTGCCACCATCTGGAAGCAGGCATAGCAGTGCATCCAAGTCACCAGCAATATCTAAAAAAGATCTCCCACCCTCTGGTAGTCGATATACAAAATCACCTGCAGCAAATCGTAGAGACCTTGTGAATACAGTGTCACCCCCACTACCGAAACGAGAAAGGTCTTCCTCTTATGTGAATGTGGTTCACTCTCGCTCAGGGAGTGACATTTCTAGTAACACAGGTAGTAATAGCATAATCCACAACAGATCTGGGAGTGACATAGGCAGCAGCAGTGTAGGAAGCAGGCACAGTACAGAGATGAGGCATAGCAGCAGCAGCAGCAGTAAAGCTGAAACTGTCTGCTGATTGGTTAAAAATATCTATCCTGTCAAAACCTGAATTAGTCATTGTAGTGTCAGCTCTATTGTATATGTAATTTCTTGTCTTAATTATTAATAATCATGTAAATTTTCAAAATTTTACCAATTAGTACATATTTTAATTATAACAAAATCAAAATATTAATTTTACGCATTTGCTATGTACATGAGTATATCTCTTTCTTGCCTATAGCTGTATATCTGTGTACAAAGTTTTGATATAGTTACTGTAGTTGTAGAATGAATGAATTTGATGGTACATATAGTACATATTTTTTCCCATAAAATGGGGTTAGTGTATGGAACAAGTATGAGACCAAGAATATTAGACAGAGCAGAGAAGTATTAGTAAAAACCTGAAACATGATCAAAAGTGAGTAAACAGATGTTTGCAATCAGTTCAGCTTTTTTTATACTCTTTAATGTTAACATAGTTATAGGAGTATAAGTGTTATATGTTTCTATTTTTGTGTACAAAAAGCCTCTATTTTTGCACAAGAGGACATCATTTTGGGTGGTGTGTTTTAAGCAGTGTTTGAAATTACCATGAGCCCAACTGCCCGAGACGCATAAATTTCGCCACAGGTGAACAAGTCTACTTAAATTGACACCTGGCTGGATTTTTTCAAATTTCCACTAATTGAAAATTTATATTGATAAATCTGTCTCATATTGACTAATTGTATTGGTAGCAAAGTTTAACAAGCCAAGTGACAGAACTTATCAGTCTATATGAATGGATCAAACTTATGCTGTCAGTCCTGTAGTCACAAAAGAGCTGAGATTGAGAGAGCTTAGGATTGCAGCTTTCCAGCCACTTGCAGGACAGACAATGTAACAACTCATATGGTTTTATATATATGTAACAAAAAATTTTTGAAGCAAGGCCATACTTTTCTTGAGCTGAAAGGTCTTTGGGCTGACAAGTTTTATCAGCAGTCACACCTGCATGTGTGTCTAGCTAATTTTACAGTGAGTTTCAATCACTGATTTTTAGTAACTTGTTAAGGCCAGAAAGTTAAATGTTGTGTTCATACTGTTATATGATTTTTTTTTATCCACCTTTTACATAATTACATGGAGTGTATCCATGACCCTCTTATAACAGGTGTCAAACACTTCTCACTTTATGAAAGTTTTTATGTTATTGAAAACCAGATTCAAGTCATTTACAGAATGTTAACAAAAGTAAATAATTGTTATTTAGTTTAGGTAAATCTAGTTCCGAGGACATTGTTTAACAATTTTAATCATTTATCATTAGATTATTGTTTAACTGAACCAAATGAGGTCTATCTGTCACAATACAGGGTTTAAGGTGTTACCTAGGCATATCTTATTTTTATATTGTACACTTAATTCATTATGCATCAAAAATCATTCAGTGTCATATTTCTCAGTTATTAATTGTTTTACATTTTTTAAAGTTAGTCTACAGATACAATTATTTTACTTTTGGATACTAATGTGCAATGTGCATAATAGTCATTTAACGAAGAAGTTTTCTTAGCTCATTCACTTCATTACAAACTTTATTTTAATGTTGTCATGTCCAATAAGATATTAATTTATTTTTTAATGAAAAATTGTTATGAATGATCTTTGAGATCAAAAAGCATTTTTATTTCACATATTTCAAGAATTTTTATTACAGTAATTTCAATATTATGTAATTATATTACAGTTTGTAAGGATGGGATTATACAATATTAGCTCATATAAAACCCACTGCTGGACAAGCTCATGGTATGCTAATACATCAGTACTCACTCAGTGGTGTCACTAGGGGTGCATGTCTGAAGGATTCTGATGATGCAGTCAGTTGAAAGGCAATATAAGTTGAGCCCAGTGAATATTTTGTACAACTAAGGTTAAATTTTATAAGAGGTCCCATGTTACTGTATTTGTTTATACATCAATTTACACTTGTATGTACTTACATATATGTATTATGTAGCTACTTATAGTTACATCATTTAATTATGTTTTTAAATTTTTTATACAAGTTAATGGTTGATGTTTTTTTAATGGTTGAAAATGTATAGTATTAAAGCTAATGTTTTGTTATTGTTAACAGAATGCTCTACTGAATTTTAGTTGTGTACTTTGTGAAAAATAAGATTAAAAGAAATATTTTGTTAAAATGTTTGAAGTCTATGTATATTGTTTCTTTCTTTTAATGGAAAAGCTTTCATGAGAACTTTGTAGATACATGTACAAAGCACAAAGAACAATTTTACATCTTTAAGTAGAGTTCCAGCATTGATTTTTTTATTTTAAATATGTAAACATTTTTGCAGTTTTTATCAGTAGTAATCCTATGAATGAAATATAAAGTGGTGGTCTTTAAATGTATTGGTGCAATTATTACCAAAGGGCAAAAAAAAAACCTCTTCCACAGTTGATATTAAATCTGTGTCAATTATTGAAGTGGCATTAAATAAATTAGTTAAACTTTTCTATGAAATGAAATTGTTTGTTTTCAATATGTCAAGGCTTTGTGATTAGGTATCTCACACATTGTAATCACAAGCTCTTGTGAAGATGAGTACCCTCACAATAGCCCAACATAAGGGCTGTTTAAATTAGGATATTTTCTTTATAATTTTCTATCTGATACTGTTAAATGTTTCAATGAAGATTAATTCAAAGCAATATAAATGTACCATATGACGTGATTTGGTGGTAAAAACTGTTAAGTGATGTTCTAGCTATGCTAGAACAAGATCAATTTTATTTTATTTTATTTACAGTCTACTTATTGAACCAATAGATACACCATCTAGAAGTTAAAATTAAATTAACTTTGCAAATTTTTATTGTATATTAAGAGTTTAACTCCAGCATTTTGGATATTGTTTTATAGACTGTTTTATAAACTGATATATCAGTAATAGGTCAACAGCTCCAAACCTTTTTTAAAAGTTGGAATTTCCAATTGGATTTCTCAAAAACTCAGATATTTTGTAGGTCTTCCACTGTCCTTTAAGTTTAAGTTTTAAGGCTTAATTGTAGCAGACATTTGAAGAAGGTATATTTTATTAACTTGTTCACTTTTTTAAGGGCACATATTTCAAAATAGGTAAATTGATATCGTTCATGATTTTTTAAAGTACTCACTTCTCTTTTTTGTTGACATCTTGTATTCTTGCCTTTTTTCCTTTTGAATACATGTACAAGATATGAATTTTTTAAAAAGTGATTATTATGAATTACTTCTCAACTGGAAAATTAATGTTATGTCTGTCTACCAAAACTTGTTCATAGTTGATCAGATGCTAGATAAATGCCATGGTTTTATAGAAGTATACATCAATGTTTCTCCTTACTTATTCCTTTAAACCATTTTCTGTTTATGGTTCTTGCTTTTACAATGAAGTATTAAATACTGAATTTACCCACTTACCTTATTTTGTACTTAGGAAGTTGGTGTAAAAAGAGGAAAATTGGAATTTAAAGGTTAGTGAGGACATAGTAAACAAACTAATGGTTGTATCCTTTTTCAGAATCTTATAAATTATACGGTTCAAGTTTTTCAAAAGTAGGTCACACTCCAAGGTCATGAGGTAAAAATATTGGTACCAAAGTAAAGGTCTTGTCACAATAAATACATATTAAGTGAAATTTAAAAGCATTGATACCGACCATTTAGAAGTTATAGGCAAGGTTAAAGTTTTTTTTCAAAAGTAGGTCAAAGGTCAAAAATGTTGATAACCAAAGAACAGTCTGGTCACATGAAAGACTTATCTGATTAATTTAAAAGCAATAGCACCAACCGTTCATAAGTTATTGCCAAGATTGAAGTTTGGTAAATTTTTTTCAAAATTAGGTCAAACTCCAAGATACATTGGTACCCAAAGAAAGGTCTTGTCTCGAGGAATATACCTGTGAAATTTGAAAGCCCTAGCTGCAACTGTTCAAAAGTTATGGCGAAGGTTAAAGTTTTTAAAAGATAAGTAAAACGTCAAGGTCAAGGTCAAAGTTGTTGGTATCCAAAGGAAGGTCTTGTCACAAGGATTACATATGTGAAGTATGAAAGCCCTAGCACCAACCATTCAAAAGTTATGGCCAAGAATAAAGTGTTTCAAAAGTAGGTCAAACTCCAATGTCAAGGTCAAAGTGGTTGGTATCCAAAGGAAGGTGATGTCACAAGGATTACATATGTGAAGTACGAAAGCCCTAGCATCAACCATTCAAAAGTTATGGCCAAGGTCAAAGTTTTTCAAAAGTTGGTCAAACTCCTAGGTCAAGGTCAAAGGGTCAAAGTAGTTGATATCCAGAGAAAGGTCTTGTCATAAGGAATACACATGTGAAGTTTGAAACCCCAAGCACCAACTGTTCAGAAGTTATGGCCAAGATTAAGTCTCATAAAATTTTGTTAAAGTGGAAACTCCAAGGTCAAGGTCAAAAGGCCAAATATGATGGTACCCAAAGAAAGGTCTTGTCACAAGGAATACACATGTGAAATATGAAAGTCATAGCTCCAACCAATCAAAAGTTATGGGCAAGGTTAAAGTTGACAACAGACAGACAGACAAACAGATAAACAGACAAACATACAAACAGGACAAAAACAGTATACCCCCGGGATCTTTCGATCCCGGGTCATAAAATTTTGTTAAAGTGGGTCAAACTCCAAGGTCAAAAGGTCAAATATGATGGTACCCAAAGAAAGGTCTTGTAACAAGGAATACACGTGAAATATGAAAGTCATAGCTCCAACCAATCAAAAGTAATGGGCAAGGTTAAAGTTGACAACAGACAGACAGACAAACAGGACAAAAACAATATACCCCGGGATCTTTCGACCCCGGGGCATAAAAATACCTGCTGAACTATCCATCATGTCCTTCTGTTGACACTTTATAAACAGAATACATTGTGTTGAGGCACTCATGTGACCTACATGTATAACTATCTGTTTTTGTCTTTTGTTTTAAAATTGACCAATTTCAACCAATATTGGCTTACAACACCTTTGGGTGAAGGGGAACAAAATTTTGAATTTCAGGGTGATCATAAATTCATACTGATTTTTCTGAGCATTGCACATGCAAATACATGTATATCTAAAATTCAAAAATATTAGAAAGGAAAGGTCTTGTCACAAGGCAAACACATGTGAAATACATGTATGAAAGTCCTATAGCTCCACCAAATCAAAAGTTATGGGAAAGTAAAAGTTTTTGCGGACAAACAGACGGACGGAGGGACAGAGCAAAAACTAAAATGCCCCCAAATCTTCGATTACAGGGGCATAAAAATGTGTTTAAAAATGTAACCATTTGTACCAATTGACTCATCTAACCATGTTTCATGACTTCTCTTTTTTTAGCATATCAAAACACAATATCAGAAATTTTTTACTCATTTCTATTTCACAGGAACTCGTATATATTACGATATCATTTGATGGATCAATGAAAATGAAGTGCACTCAGATTCCTGCCGAATCTGCGTTAAAAGCGTCCCAGTTCTTTTACTGATACAATTAAGTCGGTCAGGAGTATACATAGTTTTATTAAACCTAAAAACTCCTCAGCCTTTTCCAAGGACATCGAAAATTTTAACGGACTCGTATATCCACGAGTTTCCCATAATGACACTGTGAATGACTCGCATATCATTTAATTTCTATAAAATAATTGATTCTGATTGGGTAAAAAAATTCTTCTGATTTAAAATACGGATATAAATATATATTTAATTGCTGTGGTAAAATTTAGAAATGTATTTCAAAATTAAGGATTATCTTCCTCATGCATTTCTCTGATCCTTCAACGTAATTGGCTCCAGTTTTTGGTATACCCCCTTTTTCAGCACTTCAAAGTTTTTTTTTTTTTTTTTTTTTTTTTTTTTTTTTTTTTTTTTTAAATTTAATATCTTGGATATCTAACGTTTCAGCATGAGCATCACTGAAAAAACATTATTTGTCGAAATACGCATCTGGTGCATCAAAATTGGTACCGTATATTATTTACATTTAAGAAATGAATATATTTTTTTCTTTGACCGAAATTTGGACGGCTACGCGCATTGATGACGTTTTCCGTCCAAATTTTTCTTTGATACTTCGGTCAAAGAAAAAAAAATATCACTTTCATTTCTTAAATACATAATCCTCTTCTTGTTTGTTGTTTAACGCCCGTCTCTAGAATTTTTCACTCATATGGAGACGCCACCACTTGCCGGTGGAGAGATGCAAATTTTGACCTATACTCGGCACTCAGGGCTATTGAGCTGTGAGGGATCTTTTTCGTGCCAGCATCTACTGCAACTCGGGACCTCTGTTTATATGGTTTCATCCGAAGGACCGGTCTCCACGTCCCACAGTGGGATTCGAACTCACAATGTAAGGATCAACTCCGTACTCCGCGACTCTAGAGCAGACGCTCTAATCACTGCGCCACGCGGGCGACTAATCCTCTTCTTGAAAAGTATTTCAAATTAAAGTTACAATTGAAATTACAATCAAAATCACAAACATCGTATAATATTTACATTCAACATGTATTTTGCTTAGAAAGTGTAAGGAAAGCTGCGGCATTCAAAACACCATAACACGGACAAGGGGTCAAAAAGTTAAAGTATGCGTTTTATTTTGACGTCACAAACGTTGAACGCCGTGTAAGTACAACGTCATAAACGAAAATCAAAATTCACGCTCACATTGAACAGACGCTGTTGCAACGGCTCTTCCATTAATTATAACTTACCTGAAGGATAATACAGGGATTTTGGAATATAAATCACATTTTCAGTCAAGGCAAGGAGTTAAAAATGTATATATAAGCATTAAATCATTATTTTTTGAAAGATATAGTCTCATAACTGCATTGGTGTGTGCAAATAAATTTTCATAACGCGCTAACGCGCGTTACTCAATTTTTTTGCACACACCGTTGCAGTTATGAGACTATATCTTTCAAAAAATAATGATTCAATGCTTAAATATAGATGTACTGATGACTGTTAACCATAACATTACCAATACATGACTGTGTCAATTACATCAGCACGCTTTTTAAAAATATGTTATAGAATAAAGTTTACAAAAAAATCAACCCATAATATACCATGTGAATGTTTTAAATTGGTAAGAAATTCATGCAATCATTATTATTAATTTTCTATGATTATCGTAAACGGTTTAAATACCAAGTATCATAAAGACACTGCCATGACCATTCAACATGACCCTCTTGGGACATTGTGGATATCCAATGTATCCGCAATTTTCCTCAGAGATTCGATAAAATGTATCCTACATATTCTCTGTGGACAGTGTGAATCTCTTCAAAAAGCGATGTTCCAAACATGTCCCTAGCTCTTCAGGCTTTGTACGTATGTACCCATAATGTCCATGATAATCAAAATCAAAAGATCTATTTTTTTAGCTAACAATTGCGTATACAAAAAGAAATCCTATGTGTATGGTCCGTCAACACATGCAGAACAAATAATAAACAAAAACTAAACAATGTTAACAAATAAACATCTGTACTTGTGGAAAGTTTCAAATTACTAATTTTGTTGTTTTACATTAAATCTGATACTATTGGACCTTATCTAATCAATATTTCAAAAAAAAATTCAACAATATTTACATATTGTAAAATATCTGAGAAATTTTTACCAGTTACTATAATGAGGTACGCGTACAAGGGTTTCCGGGGGTTTTGTTGGAGGCTCCGCAATGACACCATTGTCATTAGCCTTGATGTAGCTATTGCTGATGGTGGGAGATTCCATATAGGAGGCATACAGGAACACCCTCTCCCGAGCCGCTTCCATCTGAACCCTCTGGCACCAGTCTCCCCAAGCAGGCAGGAGCAGCTTAGCATTAATACTGCATTCCTTGAATCTCCAGACGTACAGGAATGGATTCAGAATTCCATTGATCAGAAACAGGACTTGCACTGACTTCATTGCCGTTGCAAAGGTTGGATGTGTACTTTCTAGATCAGGCAAAACGTCTGTAACGCTTGTACATAAGATTCCTGGGACATAGCATAGTAGAAAGGTAATGGTGATTACATGCATTCGGACTACTGCGCGGACTTCTGCTGCTATGATATTGTGATTTTCCTTTAGTGAATTCGACATGGGGACAACGGGAGGCACATTTTTTCTAACAATACAGCAGATGACGAAAAACGACGATAGAATGATACTGAAACACACCAGAGAAACAACAGAGTACATCAAATGCGTTGGCATTCCATCTCTCTGGATGCATTGTCCAGGCGGTACCGATTTTACGTCAGACGACCTGGAGACTCCAAATATAATACCTAGACTCCAGACAACAGTTAAAACGAGGCTTGTAATCCACATACCTATTTTAGACTGGTACTTCATAACCAGCGATAGAGAAAGACAGCGATCCAGTGATAAGATAGTCATCAGAAATATGGACACGATCACATTCGTCCAAAATATACTTTGTCGAATAAAGCAGAACATATCCTTGTTGAGGACATAGTCTGTCAGTGGACGACAAAACAGGATAAAGCAGTTGATCCCAAGAATAAAGTCGGAGGCAGTCATGTTGAGAATGAGGAATTTAATTTGAAGAGGCAATCGTTTACATCTTTGCATGATAACAAATAGGCATATATTTTCACAGAAGGATATAAATCCGATGGCACTGAGTGTTTGATCTATACTCTCTTGTGCCTCATCCTTGATTTCAGTAGTGTTCTGAATCATGTCTTGCTAATGTGGCTCTGAAACAAAATTTATATATATATAATTTATTTATATATTCATTTTAATTATTCTGGCTTGCTAAATAATACTTGTGAAATTGTGCACGTAGACATATTGTTGCACCTAATTTTGTCCGAAGATGGCTTTGACAGTAAGTTGTGCAAGCAACATTAAAACAAAGGTCAGTGAGGGGTGACTTTCGCTATAGCAATGATATTTTTTGTGTGCTTTTAAGCCTTTTTGGTGCTTTTTTTTAATTTTAAATAGGCATTCGACACAGTGTAGAGAAACTGTCTTTGGTACAAATTGTTGAAAAATGATATAAGTGGTAAATGTCGTACATTTATAAAAAAAATGTGTATTATGGAGTTAAGTCCCTAGTGACTATGAATGGTCTGATATCTGAATTTTACAACTGTAATATTGGTGTACGCCAAGGAGAAAATTTATCTATCACCTCTCCTGTTTTCTATGTATATTAACGATTTAGAAGAATTATCAGCAACAAAAATGTGCAACGACTTTCCAGGCCCGTAGCAAAGGTTTCAAAAGGGGGTGGGGGCAACTTCCCCCCCAAAATAAAAAAAAATGACAAGGAAAAACACTAAACTGACGAAAAGGGGGGGGGCAAAATTATCTGAAAAAAATAACAATTTAATAAAAAGGGGGGAGGCTTATTTACTGTCCTGGAATTTGGCAATTAACATCTAAAGGAAAGTTTACTAAAGCAAAATTTATACTAAAAAAAAGTGCCCCCCCCCCCGCGTTCTACGGGCCTTGTTTCATTTAATTCAAGCATTTCAATTACTGTAGAAAATCAATTCTAGATTTGTAAGATCACCCAAGCGCAAACTGAGGGAAAAGTGAGGATCAAAATCATAGAAAATGTTAAAGTCAGACAATTATAATATTATAATTAAAGTTATTTGTGTCAGAGTGCATAAAGTTTGAGGAAAATATCTTGATCAGTGTCTTTGAAACCTAGGTAAAGCAGGATAAGGAATAGCAAGGTCAAGGTCAGAAAATTGAATTTCCAACTTCAATTATATGTATTTTTGATAGAAATAATTTTTAAAAAGGTATTCAAAGTCATAGAAAAGGCCAGGTTAGGAAATTGTGAAACAATTTGCATTGCTTTCGTAAACGCAAAGAATTTGATGAAAATACCTTGAACAGTTTCTGTGAAAGTAAGATAAATTCAAGATTTGGAATAGTGCATGGAGTCTAAGTCACATTGAAGGAAGATCAAGAAATTGAATTTCAGATTGAATTATGTAAATCAGGAACACACGAATGACTTATAGAAAATGAGGATCAGGCGAGCATTGTACCCTTTTGTAGGTGTAGACCTCCCCTACGAGTACGACACATGCTTAGAGTTTTGCCTCGAGTCCATCCCTAAAAACAACCGTTGACGAATATGTACATACAGTAGCTGCATAGTTCATTAACGCTTAAGCTGTATAAATTATACCTAAATAAGTTTATATTATTCTTTTTGATAACATTAATGCCTTTACTTACAATGTCCTTTGCAACAGAATCAGCGTCTTTTAGAAAAGTTCTGTGACCTGACGTTGTCACTTTGCGTCATAATAGCTATGACGTCAACAAAAAGTTGATATTTTTTCCAAGAAAATACCTTGAAATACTGAAAGGGCGCCTAAAGTCAGGATCGGTAGAAGACATGTCAGTCATAATGCGACCCGACGGTAAGTTTTACTTGCAAACGAAGTCAGTGCAATTTAACGATCATAGAATTGTGAAATTAAGTATTAAATTTGTGAAATTAAGTATTAAATTCCACAGGCACCTGACGTTACTTATTTTTCTTTTAATAAAAAAAATATACCCCCTACCTAATAAATTCACAACGTACACATCGCCGCCATCTTGATTTTTTAAAGGTCTGTCACATCAACTTGTATTTTCGTCTCAAACTCCGTGAAATAAATTTCTTGTAATCGTATCATTTCTGTGGTCAGTCTTTCGAGGTCTCAACTTACCGACAGTGCAACCAAAAGGGCGCATCACGCTTGCAAATATTAAACATTTCTCGTCAAACGGTAGGGAGTATATCTTTTTTATTAAAACAGAAATTATAAGTAACGTCAGGTATCTGTCTTAAATTCTTATTTCTAGATGTAGTCGCGGTCCTATAACAGCACCTGGCCGTGCCGACTCACGCGCGGTATGATAATTTGTCGGCAGGGACAGGTGCTGTTTTAGGACCGACGCAATCCAGAAATAAGAATTCAATGCTTATATTTACATTCTCTTATTTTCTCTCTTATTAAATGTTATTTTCGTTAACCTTTATTATAAATGAATTTAGCGCCTTTCAATATTGATGTGCTTAATAGACGTAATAGCCGCTGTGACGTTTGAAAGGTAAATAACGCAAATGAATATTGGGTGAAAAAGAACAATTAATTTTAAACGTACAATTGTTACAATTTTACGATAATTTAATAGGGCAATTGTTTTTAATTAAATTGAGCTAAACAATATACATTCTGGTGTTCCTAGAGTATTGAAAATGCATATAGTTCCTACTGTGTATTCTACTGCGCAGTGACAAGGTTACGCGTGTGTTCTGGGGTATTGAATGTTGCAGATTTCCAATGGATTTCTTATAGAAAATTACACTGAATGTAAATATTTAACTTTAAATGAGAATCTCTATAGCATCAATTTATTTGTCAACAGCTTGTCTATGTATAAGAATTGATGTACTCAGAATATGTCTTTGCATACGAAGACATCAATTGATAGGAAGAAAAATTATACTCTTCTGTATAGAATGTGTAAAAAGTTATACGTAGTCCTTGGAAGGGGAGTGAGTACACGAAAAAAAAAAAGTGTCCTATCCATGTTCTGTTGAAACTGGCACAACAGTTCTCGAGGAGTCAAAAATGTGAAACAGCAGGGTTGACGGAAGAGATCAGGAAGACCATTTTTAAAAGCATTTGGCTGAAGTGGTTTCGAATATAATTCAATGCTGAAGTAAAACATATACTGAATGACATTAGTATTATACGCACATAAATTTAAAAAAATTACATTTATTTTGCTACTTCACTTGCATTCAAACTAGAGAGAAACATCATGTTGAAAACATACACTCATTCCATCCAAGATGTCTTTTTGGAGCTAAAACAATTAATCAGATATAACTTTATATACCTACATGTGCAGTAGTCTAACGGATTTTATGCTGTCATGAAGCATTACAAAAACAAATTCGTTCTAGTATTTATAATTATAAAGATTTGGTCGATATGCTAAAACAGCAGTTTCACAACTTTCTCATTAAAAAATATATTTTACTGCTAAAGTTCCTGAGATATCATCGATATGGTAAAAGTTGGAGACTCTTTGTTGTTGGTGACGTCAAACCGGTCAACAATGTCAATGTCTGGTCTTAATGACTCTCCGCAGTGGACACTAAACAACTCGCAACCATAAATTCTGTGTGCGTCTGTCTTTATTTTGGCAGGATTCTGGAAGATTTCCCATCGGTATTTTGAATTAATCGACAAATTCTTCCACAGTCTGATAAAATCCAAACAATTCCCGCTCAACTATTTACTGCAGACGGTATGCTGGTGCAACTTGGGAGTAGCAATTGTCGGCTGCTTCCGTCATATGTGGGATTAATAAAAGAGACGTCTGCGAGACTGAAATCACATTACTGTCAATTATACTGTTGCTTTCATGAACAAATTTCTAAGCAGATGTAATAATTTCTCATAAAAAAGATTGTAAATGCCTTTGGTAACATCAACTTGTTTTTATTTGCAAAAAAGTACGAGACATTGACCAAAATTAGAAACTCTTCCTATATTGAGAGCAGAAATAAGATAAAACCTATTTCTATTTTTTTTTAAAAAATTGTTCTCATTCGGACAAATTTTATGATAATTTTTTTTTCTATCAAATAAAAGTCTCAAATTAAATCTACCAATGTGTATTATGCACAAATACACGCTAACAAACCTTGGTTGATTCTCCGAATCTCTCTCTCGCCCCTTTTCTGTCTCTCCGTTCATTATACTACAAAGACAGCATTAGTTTGACATTTTTTTCATAGCAAGAACTAATCAACCGACATTTAGTGTATTGGACAATTGATTGTTTTAAAAAATTAAGTTGATTTAAGCTTTTATTATTTATTGCGTTTTAAAAATGAAAATTAAAATCATTTTATTGTTAATAAATATAATTGCCGATTTGCAAATCATAAAATTCTATCTCGAACTTCAAAATCTGAACAAAAAGTTGCGAATCTCTTTCTGACAATCATATACTTAGTATTCTCTGTGCGACATATAAATTTTGCATCAACCATCTTCGTGAACATTCAAGGAAACAAATAAAAAGTTCAAGAGACATAATGACCTTAGCGGTCACCTGAGTATAATACAACCCTGTAAAGGATCCAGGGAATGGTAAATCATTATAGAACAATGCAAAATAAATTGAAACTCAAAAACAAGACAAAAAAGACGATCGAGGGTCAAGAAAAATAGTCTGGTAATCTGGCAGCATGCTAACAACTCAAAAACTTGCCTGTTCAGTAAACTTTTTTAGTACGAAAACGGATATACTAGTAGAGAATTTACAGACATAACAAAGTTTTTGGGGACTCACAGCAAAATTCTTAACAATTCCTTGTTAAAAAAAAAATTACTGTTATAACAACCTTTGTCATGAGATAAATTCAAAATATTGAACTGACTTTATTTTTTGTATTTATATTTGAAATTTAATTCATCAGAAAACTTTAGTAATCCATCAGAAGTTTTGTATTTAATACTTCTTTAATATATTGGTAGTCACACTTGAAGGAAAATATGTATGTTGCAAATTGGCTATATCCTTTATATACTTTAGCAAATTCGTTATAGGGACATAACGAATTACAGAAACAGTGAAGTAAATATACAGATCCTCAGAACTTCGTTATAACCGAGTTTTACTGTACTTGTACTTACTATGCCAGTGCCATCTACACTCTCTATCACTATCACCAAACATAACAGGGCAATAGTGCTTTAGCATGATATTCACAGAGTATATCTACACCTTAATGGCCTCTCTTGGTCTTTGAATGATATTTAATGTACATACTGTATATAAGGTTTTGTCTATAATTTATCTATTACATGTATGTACAAGTCTACCAGACTTTTAAAAACTACGAATTTCAAAGTATTTTTTATATGTTTAAAATTTTAGTTTTATATTCTAATATTCAATGTACCTATCAATTACATTATTTACATTAATTATTATCGTAGGTGATTTACAAAGGGGGATAATTTTCTTCAAGCAGCGTAAATATTCCCATAAATGATCATAATATAGCCCAACCCTAAATCCAGAACCCCTCATCCAGAGGGGGGGGGGCATAAATTCATAGTCATGCACTTAGTTTTTCTGCTAAATACTAAGAGCAGAGAAGAACACTTTCAAAGATTTAAGTAAATGCATTTTCACTATATGATAAATAGAGCCCTAACCTAATTAAAGATCCCTGACCCAGATGTCATGAATTTCACAATTTAGATGTCTGCTAAATATCCAGGAGCAGAGAATATTTTCCAAGAATTAATGCATTTTTACTATATGATCAACAGAGCCCTGCCATAACACTAGAACCTAAGATCCAGGGGCCATGAATTTCCCAGATTTAGAAGAAGCGCTCTGGTTCATTATAACCATGCACTTACTTTCCCTGCAACAAAACCAAGAGCAGAGAAGAAAATTTTTGAAGAATTAATGCATTTTCACTTTACGATCAATAGAGCCCCAACCTAACTCCGAACCCCTGATCCAGGGGCCATGAATTTCACAATTTTGGAAGAGGCGCTTGTGCTCATTATAACCATGCACTTTGCTTGTATTCAAAACACCAAGCCCCAACCTAACTCCGAACCCCTGATCCAGGGGCCATGAATTTCACAATTTTGGAAGAGGCGCTTGTGCTCATTATTACCGTGCACTTTGCTTGTATTCAAAACACCCAGGAGCAGAGAAGAAGACTTTCACAGAATTAATTTAAAAGCATTTTCACTTATATATGACCAACAGAGCCTCACCCTTACACCAGGACACCTGACCCAGGGGCCATGAATTTTACAAATTCTGGGTGAGGCACCCTTGATCATCATATCAATACACTTTGTTTTTCAGCTTAATGCACGGGTGGAGAAAAGAATTTTTCACAATTAATGCATTTTTACTACATGATCTACAGAGCCCCACCCTGACACCGAACCCCTAACCCTGGGGCCATGAACTTTACAATTTTGATAGAGGGTTCAATGCTTATTACAATCATGCCAACAGATTGACTGCGTGATATCCAGGAGTGAGGAAGAAGATTTTTATAGATTGCATTGATTTTGATGGTTATAGTCCCGACCCTCAGGCCCTTCAGGGAATATGAAAATCGTATTTTTTCCCTTCACACATAAAAGCGTCGCCCGCGTGGCGCAGTGGTTAGAGCGTCTGCTCTAGAGTCGCAAAGTAAGGAGTTGATCCTTACATCGCGGGTTCGAATCCCACTGTGGGACGTGGAGACCGGTCCTTCGGATGAGACCGTATAAACCGAGGTCCCGTGTCGCAGTAGGTGCTGGCACGAAAAAGATTCCTCACTGCTCAATGGCCGTAAGTGCCGAGTATAGGACAAAATTTGCAGCTCTCCACCGGCAAGTGGTGGCGTCTCAATACGAGTGAAAAATTCTCGAGAAGGACCTTACAAACAAACAAACAAACACATAAAAGCTTTATGCCAGAATTGGTTAAAATTGGTTCAGCAGTTCCAGAGAGTTCAAAGGTTATCGCACGAAGCATGACAAAACGACGACGGACGAAAACAGATAGCAATAGGTCACCTAAGTGACTCAGGTGACCTAATAAAAAGAAATATGACGTGTCCGATTACTTAGTATGGCGTCCGATTACTTTTTATGTCTATTGCATATACAAGTATAAGATTGATAGCGTTATTATTCAATATTGATATCAGGCTATAATTAGCATCCATGAATATTTAATTTGTTGGTATACTGCCGAACTCTCTAAGCATTTTGAATAATATTAGATTAATTTTTATTGAAGGACTCATGTGCAGTGTATATGCTATAAACTCACTTGTCTTTTTCATAAATTGAACTGTCATCGTCATTGAAGAGATATAGTGGGCCTTTTTGTTGACTTTCCTTTTGATGCAACCTTCTATAATTGATGACAGAAAAAAAATAGTACATATATCTTAAAAGAATGGCAAAATGTCTGATATACTCTGGTATACATTTTCCAAGCACTCACCTGAAATATCTACAGGTGAGATATATCACACTTAACAGAACTGCCAGCACCAAAGAGAAAGCAATAGCTAGGATTACAATCACCAAATGTAAATCCTTCTCTATTCTAAATATTTCCGGAAGTCGTTCTGTCTGTAATGTAAAATCTGAAAATATATCATCCTAAGTTAAACACAATTCTTCAATGATCCAGTTAAGTATACAAATTATAATGAAGATTAATATTTTTTAAAAAAGTATTGTTATCCCTACTTGATTTTCCTATTGGCGTTTCTGCTGTTGGTTGCAGGTGAAAATCAATATAGTGGACACCAGGGCTTCCCTCAGAAATTTCATTACTTGAATAATTACCATTTTCTGGTCTATCAGTCGCTAGTAATTCTAATTTATACGTAAAATTATAATCGTAGATTTCTGTTGGGGTAGAATTAGATTTACTTAACAGTTTGTTGTATACGAATGTATAGAATGCGTGAAACCCAGATTTTTCTACTCTGCTGTCGGATATAAACTGTATGTACAGTATATTTCCTGTAGAATTGTAAGTGAAATGATCATATTTCCCACACAAGAAAGTAGAAGAATTTACAGATTCTTCGGATATTTCAATGACGTCATAAGAGGAATGGCATGATCTTTTGATATGTTCCTCTAAATCCACTTTCACGAATGATAGATAAATTCGGACACTAGGCGGCGCTTCAATTTCCCACGTACAATTCTGTGACGGTAGATACCCCATGGGCCAGCCAGGGGAGGATATTTCTCCATACGGGTCTGTAAAGTGTCCTCCACAAGCCCAGTCTACCAAAAAGAAAAAAAAGAAAGAAATATAGGTCACTGTCACTCACTGGACATACCTGGTTGCTGATACATTTTATGTAAAAATTACATAAGGTTTCTTCTGTTCATGAAATTTGCAATTAAAAACAGATAAGTGACTAAAGCAAACAAGGCTGAAATATTTTACTGAGCTGTAGAACAGATTAGACAGGGAATTTCTTTCTAGAAATCGTACATGTAACTTCTTAACAAGAATAATTTGAATACGTAGAATAGAATCATTCAAAATTCAGAATTTTAGTAATATACTAGAATATCATTCAGAATTTTAGTAAAAAAAACTTTTGATTTTTCATATTTGCTAGAAGTACATCCGATTTACCTGTTTTGTACTGCAGTCTAAATCCAGGTGCATCTCCTTTATCATTGGTTATGAATGAAATGATAATGACATTTGATTGGCTTATGAATTCCCGAACATTATTTTCTAAGCAAGTCACTTGTTGTTTATCCACAATAAGAAGTCTATCCGAGTTTTGAGTGCAACTTTTTAGAGATTCTTTAAAAAGTTTCAGATGTGTAAATGAAATTTTAATAATCTGTAAATAAAATTAAATACATGTATATTTATGTCATGAAACATTCATAAAATTTGAATATATGCTTTAAAAATCGTGTTCCAAGTCTTTGAGTAAGCACAAATCAGTATACCTTAAACTTGGGAACCGTAATTGTCCATGAACAATTAAGATTATGTTCATAATTCCTTGGCCAATTAGGAGAGGCTAAATACCCAGAATTAGTTTTCAAGTGTCCGCCGCAATCTACATGTGCATGAATGTTGAAATTTAAATAGATGTTAAAACAAGACTATAGAATAAACTGTATATCTTGAAAATTCTATCGTGAAAGTGAAATGGGGCAAAACTGTGTACCTGAAAGTGGAAACCAAAAATTAAGAGCATCATATATTATTATATTGTAACACACTTATTATCAAAGCTTTTGCTACTTTGTCTCTTTCCTCACCTAAATATGGTTTCATTTCAAAATGGTGCACTTGGGATATTCCCTGTGAAATTAAGCCACCCACATCACTTCCGGTTTTGGTGCTTAGTAAACATGTTCCCTCTTGAACCTAAATACAAGCCTTCAAATACTTCAAAAGGGAATTTATAACATTTATGTAGTAAGACCAATTAAATATCCATTTCTCTTCTAAAATATCAATTTCGCCCTATTATTTTTTTTTTAATTAAATATATAGTACCATCTACAAATTGTATTCAATTATCTGAAGACAAACAATTATGTCATCAAGTTTCAAAGAAAAGAATTTCACACACTGAATACTTTTTATAAGTATAACCTGATAATCGAAAGATCTGCAGATAAAAATGTTTTCCTCCAAACATTTTCGGGCACATGCACTAGGTGTGATTCCAGAGACAGTTTTCTCGTTGTGTCCCAGTATTGCAGAGTATGGAGTGGGGTAAAAGCGTCGGAGATAATCGTCTGGAAGATATTAAAACCAATAAAATACTATAAAAATGTATACAATGCGTACTAGTAATTCTCTGTGTTTGTCATGACACCAGAAACACGGCTAAGTTTACTGTCTCTGAAATATTTCTTTGGACACTTTTTTAAACAAAGATATAATGTGTCAAGTGTCATAACATTTTTTTCTTTAATAGAAATGCAACAATTCAAATACATTCCTTGCTGGCTGTATTCGAACGAAGTCAAGGTTCGCACACAAAAATTAACAATATGGCATTTTTTTCCAACCATGAGCTGAACATTATTTCGATCTTTTTGTCAAATTCTTGACACCAAGATTAATGAAGGATTAAATCCATTATCTGTGGCCGATGCTAATCAATGTAGATCGCACCGGACTTGTTTGCAAACACTTGAAACATCTAATTGAAAGTGGTCAAGGCGTCACAATGTCAATAAACCTAGTGGAATGTAATAACTAAAAGTCTCAAAAGCTCAATAGTAATAATAAGTCCTGCAGGAAATGGACCAATGTTGTATTTTATTACCATCATCTTTTTAAGACTATTCTAGTTTCTTGGATACAGTTTGTTTGAATATATGCCTTGAATACATATAGCTTGAATGAAAGTAAAAGGCTTATTTCCTGTATGGAACATATCAAAACTGGTTGTACTAAATTGATGCAAAATCACTGATATGAAAGACTAGTTCTTTTTTTTCTTTATCGAAATAATGGTCACCTTTGAACTCGTAATGTACAACATTTTTGTCGTCTGATCGTGATGTCACCAATCCGTAGACATTGGCTGCGATGTACATGCTCAAGTAACAAGATTTGTCGTCAAAAACGTAATCAAAACTTGTGCATTTGAATGAGTTTTCTGCGAGACAAAGATGTGCACAAGCGACAAGAGAGACACCCATCACAGTTTTGTGATATATCTGTTCTCCCTCTAATTGCTGCAAGCTACCATATCCAAAGTTTATAAAGTATTCAAGAGGACCATCTGAAAAGCAATAAGTCCGTAATAAGCATTATCAAATACCATAAAATACAATGTTATAGTCATTCCTTTATATAACATACATAATTGGGTCATATTTTTGCAGTTGCAAGTTTCACACGCTTACTAGACTGTCGCTCATAGTAGTCCGTGTTGACTTGTGGAATTAGTCCACGGGAAGCAGGCGGCAGGATGTCTGTCAACCAACAATTCTTAAGTTTAACCTCGTAGTCAAACCCTAGACATCTGAAGGTCGCCTCAAGGACACACCTTCTGGCACACTGTTCCACGCTGATTTCGGATATCTGACGCTTATGGTCAAAGGTCAATATGTGATTTGGAAGACGGTTGAATAATCCCTCGAAGTATGCTAAAGAATCAAGAAACATACAAATGGTTTCATTTCCGCAATGTGGAAGAAAAGTTGTTTCTCTAAGAGCATATTTTTCTTTACGTTAATTTCTCGTTTACTTTTAAAAGATTTTATATCTAAACTAAATTTCCGAAAGTTATCACATGTAGTTAAAATTTCCTGTAAACAACGCTACCAGATCATTTAAAAGCTATTTATTATTTGTTGCAAATTATTCATGAAGACAAACCGCTTGAAAGTTCTGAGTGTAAAACTGAAATCACAACTTATTGGACACGTCATCTTTTAAAAGAAACCCATTAACAGGGTTCGACACTAACTTTTTAAGGCTTTAGTCCAGCCGGACTAGTGCTTCATTACTTTTACTAGTCCGCACGTGATTTTATTAGTCCGTCAAAAAAAAAGAAACATCAATGCTTTTTAACATTAATTTAACGTGACAATACGTATTATTTTTTGAAATAAACAAAGTATTTACGTGAAATATATTATTCCACAGATTCATTGAATTTTGCAATCAGCAAGTACGATCGTATTCCCGGTCTCCGTTTTTTTTTTTTTTTTTTTTTTTTTTTTTTTTGGTCTTTACATTACATCCAAAACGTCCAACGTCTTTCTTAAAAGTGTCATACTAAATCATGATCGCTAAAACCTTATACTTCAAATCGATCAGTCGAAAAATTAAGCGCTGAATTGACCCAGCATTGCGTGACTACCCGCCAAAAGCTAGAAATCTAAAAATACCAGTTTTCCAGTAAAAGTTGTCGAGAATCGGACATTGGTAATTTATTCATATTGTTTTTCAGAAATTTTTATTGGTCCGTTCGGACTAATTAGCCACATATTTTATTAGTCCGAATGAAAATGTATTAGTCTGAGACTAACGGACTAAGGTTAGTGTCGAACCCTGATTAAATGGGTTTATTCTGAACATCCTCAGCTATCTATTGAAGCAACATCTTTCAACTATAACGTAGACTAAATTATTTGAACACTTTCAGCATTTTAATCAATGCAAAAATATTTCATTCGAACAGTTACAGCAGTCTGGTTGCAATGAAAAGAGGATTAAAAAGTCGAAGCCAAAATGACAAAACCGTGTGTTCCCTTCTAAGATCATTACTCTCCGTAGACTTGATTAATGATATTAATGCAAAGACATGTAAACAAATTTTCATGCGTTCAGACTTGCATTTTCTTAAAACTAAATGGATTTTACCGTGAGGTTTGCGAACTTTTAAAAAGTCTTGCTGTATGTCGATTGTATTTCATTTCGATACAAATTCCAAAATTAGATAGGTGGAATTATATTCTTCAAGAAAAATACTACAGAACTGTTAAAATCCTAAGTTTGTCTCAATTTGCATCACTTATGAAAAAGAAACCATTCATAAATATAATTTCATAGATTCCATAGGTATGAATAATTCAATCGCAGCTTCTAAAACGTCACTCTAAAAACAGTTAATATATATGACAAAAATGGTTCAATCTCATTCTGAACCATTTTCTGTCATTTATTCTACAATGTGGTCAAATAGAAATATGTTCGATGAAAAACAATTCTTACTTCTATAGTGATCTGTGTTTTTTGACACAATGAGAGACATATCATCGCTCTCGTGAGTGTTATTATGTAATCTACACGATTGAAGCTTATTGTCCATATCAAACGATTGGCAGTCGAAGGTACTCTCTTGGACGCATGATCTCGCGCATGCCTCAACACTGACATTGTTTAAAGTTGTGATTGGAAGTGCAGCCATCCTTAGTTTTGGCATCCGATAAAATAAAGATTTGTAGGCTATGTCACCTGAAAAAAAGATATTTGAACATGCACATGATATATAAAGGGTACACTTTCTTCTGAATCGAGAAAAAAATGTTGCTAAAGATATACAGTGTATGTAATAAAGGCATCTATTTCTATTATCTGGAAAAACTTAATGGAATTCAAGGAAAATATACCTCTAAAATTTTTTTTCAGAATATGTATGTACAACTTTATATAAGTTTTTTTTTTTTTTTTTTTTTTTTTTTTTTTTTTTTTTTTAGTTTTCCAAAAGCACTTCTATTTAATGAAACATTGTTGCTGCAGTGAGATGGCTATTTCCGAATACTGCATGGTTTCTAGTATTAGAAAATACACTTCTATTTTAAGTTGACACGGGAGTGAGACTGTTATTTTTTCTATGTGTAAAACACTTCCGATACATTTTGCCACCTGAAAACAAGAACGTATTACTTTGTAATTATCTGAACACTTTACAGATTTAGATACAAGGTTTGAAATAGAAAATATGGTGCTTAAGATAACCAAGCACCTCCTCATTAGCTCAGCCCCCTCAACATTGATTCCACATTAAAAGAATTTCAATTTAGAGACAATTCAAAAGGTTTGTTACACGCGGCGGAGTTTATTCAAACTCTTGTGACTCAAGATAAGTATGATGATCGTTTTCTCTGATCTTTTTCACAATTTCTGCCAGGATACAAACGACCGATACTTGACTTAATCAAATTTAAGAATCATATCTTTTTTCTCTTATATATTTTCTAGTAAAAACAATTTTGTTATGAGTGGTAGTGAGCTTTTTTAGAATTGGTTCTTCCAGACTTGGGCACATCACGGTGCTTTTATTGCTTCAAGAGATACTTATCCCCCATTTATAAATCTCCGGCCACTTGCGTGGAATTGAATTAATTTCTCTGTGCGGAGTTGTTGGGTGTCATAACCGATGTCGGAGCAGAAGAAAGTGGACTCGACAGATCGGAAGTGCCCGACAAATGTCATATATTTTGTCATAAAAACCATTTAGTGATGAAAGAGTTGACAATTCCAAATCTCTGGCCAAGGCGCATGACGAAATGCACTCAACGGAGTTAATCGTCTAGACAGAGAAATAATTCTAGAATAAGAAAATGAATACATATATGTATATATGTATTTTCCTATCATCAGTGATAATGAGGATGGGGACTGGTGTGGATCACAGATTTATTTTCTTTATCACAAATTAGGGGTGCCCTACGTATAGACAAACACGTATAAACAAATTACAGAGAAAGAGGGAAAAGTTGAGAGGTAATCACTAATCTTGACTTGTATCATCTTTAATTAAATCCATTGATGTTATGGGGGAAATGCTATTCAATTATAATTGAGGGTTAGAAATGTTTAAAGTCGTGTGCACGTTATGTGTGGTTAAAATTTGCGGAATGATAGGATCCACCCCTTTCTACCATCGCTACAGTTATCTGTTATCCTATCTAAGCTGATTTCATCCAGCCGCTGAAATATGAGAGAACTTGTGCTATGTACACGGTGGGGGTTAAGACTTTTAATTACAAATTACGATTATATTATATACCCCCATACAGCAAAAGAAATAATAAAATAAGCCTCGTATACTCTATAATCAGGCAAACGATCGTACCATGCACTCAGAATTTTACCAATACAAAATAATGATTACCATTTCATGAAGGGGTTTGTGTATATCTGATCTTAGCTGGCGTAAATAATTTTCTTTGCATTATGTAAAATTTGCTAAACCATGTTCAAATGTTAATTTAAATATGTTCAAAGTTTTGTGACAATTGGACATCTGGTAGGGTTTCCTAGGTCAAAGGATTATAGAAAATTCATGTCAAATTTTAAGCTATTATAAAGTACACATTTCTTTCCAGAGACATCGCATGCTGTAATAAATTTAGATATCTTCATCCTAGGATTAGATTGAAATATTTGTCGAATTTCTGATTGAATTATTAAAGGTTATGTCTTAATCATATTCTTATGAATGTAATGCAGTATAGTATATATTTTTAATTATATGTGCCAAGATTTGCGGTAGTGTATACAAATTTTTATAATTACATGTGCCATTTTTTAGAAATTACTATTTCAACTATTTTATGAATTTGAATGAGCCACGAATTACGAGTGGTACATTGTAGGACATTGAAATAATTTATTTGGAAACAACCATATAGACTATCTCTCATTTGGAGTCGATACAAATATTCGATCATTTCAATCTAAATATCGAGATTAATATAAACGTACAAAATCAAATTCAATTCATAGTTACTGCTCTTTACAGTTAGCAAACTATTTCATTCGGATTTTAAAAAACAAATTTATATTAAAAAAAAAATCCTTTATTTTCTGAATGATTTTTACATTAATTTCAGAAAAAGAAGTATTAATAAGACGACTTACTTTGTACAAGACAACAATGCATAAGGATCAAAAGCTCTGTATAAAAGGTATCCATTTCAATTAAATCACATATATAATTTTTTGTCTTGTATCCACCTCTGAAATCATGAGAGCTGTGTGAAATGTAATCTTCAAAGCTTCTAAGATTCCGAGCGAGTGACTCGGAATATCCGTTCCATTGAGGCCGAAACACATCGTTTTTGTATAGATCACGTGGTGTTAGTTGGGGGTCTCTGATGAAAGGCAAAATTGTTTGATTTCGTATCTTAAAAAATCCATTGTAGAATCTAAGTGACCGTTAAGAAATCAATATATGTTCCCGGAAATATTTATTGGGGTAAATTAAATGATAGCGTCCGTATCCTCGGGGTTCATAATAAGAGAGAGAGAGAGAGAGAGAGAGAGAGAGGGAGAGTAAGTTAATTGGTGGTTGTGAATATATTGATGTGGAAACTGAAGAACTAGTTTGTTTGTTCTTCACGGTCAAGGTCATTTTTACAAAGTCAGAAACATATATTTGTTTGACATCACAAAATGATCTGTATAGTTTTATTAGAAATATAAGGATATTGCATTTACCTTTTCTGTTTGGTTTAGTTTAAAGGGGTCTGGACACAGTTGCATTGTTTACAATTTTCAATGTCTATTTTTATTTTAAAATAACTTCAGTTTAATGATTTGAACTTACATGAATATTCTAAGAATTCAATGACAACGTCATTCTTTATAACATCACGTCAAACACCTGTGTGTGTAAACAGGGCACACGCTCTTTTGTTGTTTATGCTTACGTTTTACTGGATGTGTTCAATTTGTTTATTCTAAACACATCACTGAGCACGGATTGACGATACTGGTGAGTTACACTTCTACTCTGAACTTTCTGGATTATAGATTTAATATTTTTCATTAATTCACAATAAAAAACCTACTTTTCTTAAGTATTATGGTGAAAGTTTATTTTGTGAAAGTGCTAGGATATGTGTCAATCAAACGCGTCCCGAAAAATCGTAATTTAGCACAATATATTTTCGGTGAGAAATGCTCTAGCCACATATAAATCGTGATATTATCTAGAAAATTGTAGAAAATATGAGTTTCAATTCTGTGTCCCAGCCTTTTTAAAGCACTAGTTAGTTTCAATATAGACATTTCATATTGCAAATTTTATATTTACTGCCACCCAGTCAATAAGACAGTCATGTGAAACACAGGGGGTTGAAAAATTAGATATAATTGAACGTGTGTGTTTACATTTCACAAATTAGTACATCCAACAGCATAATAATGATGAACTTGGTAATTATTAACAAACGTACGTAAGCATTTACATGAGAATGGTCCCCTATTTGGCAAAACTTGTAAATGGAAATAGAAGCAAATGCATATCTAAGAACTAGAACATGTAGTCTGGACATTTTTGTACACATTTTTTTTTATAAGATTTGACGATAATCACCAATCTAATGCAATGAACAAGCAGGGTAAAATGGATTGTTACAACTCTATTCAAATAATGTTTAGACTGTATAGTATAAATCACCCAAAAGTTACACGATACAATCCGTTCGACGACGTAAATGTGGTAAGACGACTTGGCCCTTCCCCCTACTAATATTTTGTAAAAACTTATTTCTACTTTTCCTCTTTAGATTATTTTGTGTATTATATTTATGATTTTGAGTTAAGAAATTTTCAGAATTGACAATCAAAATTGGGTACCAGAAAGCAAGAAGTCAACTGGTTTTACGGGCTTTTAAAAGTTTCTAACATATGGACAAAGAGCATCTTTTTAGTTGACCAGTGGAGTATATGAAACGGTCAGTTTCTTAGCAATATACGTGTCACTGTTGTCTGGGAAAATATCTTTGAATAAATATAATTCATTTTTAATCATAATTACTTATGGTATGTAACACTGGGTATTAATTTATGACAAACAGAATGCATGGAATCTTTGTGTTTGAAAGGTTGATGAAAAAAAAGAACGACATAATTTTATTTATAAAAATATTTCTGTTTGAACATAGGAAAGAAAGAAAAACACAAAATAAATTCAAGAAACTTAAGATCAAAGGGTACAAAAAATATTAAGTCATATATGTTCCCTAAGATTATAACCATCACAGATAAAACTTATCCAACATGAGTTCACAGAGAGACACCGTGCTTATCTGGTATCGAGTTTCTTCTGGAGAGAGCAGATTGTCCCCTAGACAAAAACAGATAGGACCAAACAACCCACGGGAGCACTACTCACAAGGAAGAATTCAATCAATTAGTGATGATTTTACAAGCAAGCCCAGAATATTCTCGTCTGGTGTTTCCCGTTAGGTAATGCGATTATCGTAGAACATCTTGCCATGAAAGTATTCTTACATCATGTTATTGAATGACACACATTAAGTCATAAAATCATCAAAGAAAATCGTATTTTATAATTGGGTTAACGATAGAATCCTGTTTTGGAATGTCATGTTTTTTGTGGATGTAGATGATCAACTTAGGGTCCTGTAATTTTTATTGGCCTCTTAAGGATGTATGCTCAGTCAATATAATCATGGACTGAGTTGGGAAGCGTGATTCATAGTTATACTATCGACTACGAAAAAATATAAAATATCATAACTCGTTGACTTGCTTTTTTCTCCGTATTTTATTAAGAAAACACTCAGACAGACGCGGAAAAAGAAATTTATTTTCAAAAATAATCCCTCTTTGCGTTAGATATATGTGTAGTATTATTAAATAAGAACTGTCGATAGTATCTTTTTCACTTGTAGATCTTCTTCAGATATTTGCAGATTGAAAAAGAGAGGTGTGTTCATTTACAAAACGTTAGCCACAAACCTGAATTGCCCGTTGTATTAAAGCACCTCAGGAGATTTGTTCATCTAGATGTAGGTTATTTCTATCATTTTCACGACTGCGAAGACTATGTAAAGGGTACAATGAAAACGTAAACGATTTCCATATTTTGTGGAATTCTACTTTCAGGCAAAATCGTGAAAAGAAAGAAATTGAAAATTAGAATTGCAAAACACATGACACTTGACAAAAACAGAATGGTATCAAATATCGAACATTGGTATTCATGTATATTTGCTAAGTTATCGTGTCTAGAAAAATTCATAGAAAGAAAAGGGGGGGGGGTACACTAACCATTCGTCAGGGGCCTTTGACGAATAAGCGGTATACTACATTGCCGTGCTGGTCTACTATCTTGGTGGTTTACAGAGAACACGGGGTAAGTCGCCAATGTAGCAGTGATATGACTGTTTGTCCCGAATAAAGACACCATAGTATCTTTTGTTTAGGAGGCTGACCATCAGCGTAAGTTAGGGTTTGTTCATCGTAGCAGCACTGATTACGTTTACACAGGGTTTTAACTGGCAGAAACAGGTTGTTATAAAGTTCAACTTTTTGCATTAAAAATGGTTCTAAATGGAAAAAAAAATAACCAATTGATAAGTGAATATCAATATAAATTTAAAGTCATATATGGCATATTTTTGATAAGTTCAGACTAACTGTAATTAAAAAGATCTTTCTATTTGTTTTATTACTTTATATAAAGATAGGACTTTCCTGTAAATTACACATTTTAAATCAATCGCGTTTCGTATATATTAGAAATTTAAAACAATAACCGATTTATTTACTGACTCCGCATTTAAATATCAGACACATTTTTTTTTAAAGTCAATTTGACTATAGAAACGTTGGGTTATTCAAGTTCAAAATGGGTGAAAATTTTAATTTGAACGTAAATAACAAATATCATGTTCATCTACACTCAGTCCAGTATTTTTTTTTTTTAGCTCGGATACGCCAAGTATAGCTTTAATATTTTACTATTTGACGCAAATACATGTATGCAACAACAAATATTTATTGTAGTGCATACGTAATTCGGACTATTTTTTTTTTCACTTATTACTTTTCCCCCTATAGATGTACGTAAGCCTAAAAATTATTTTCTAGGATTGTTTAGATATCGTTTTTCAAATAATATGTTTTTTTAAGCTGTTGTATTATTTCAAATCATCGGAAGGCATGTAATGGAGAAAATCTGGAATATGAAAAGTCGATCATTCCAGACAGCATATTAAAAAAAAATCACTGACATATAGTTTTCATACCCGCAGATTAAGAGCAATACAAGTAAAATGAGGCTATGAATAGTTTAGAGTTCTCATGATTGAGTTTTTTTTTTTATTATAATATTAGTTCAAAATTGGGTAGATTTTAGAAATGGACAGAGGAAATTCGGACTGGAATATTTTAACTCCTCAAACTCCAATTGTTTATTATGTTTATCAACATTTTCCTTATATCTATTATATTTCATTATCCAGACCGTTTTATTACTTGGAATATTTTAATAAGAACAAAAATCTTGGTCATTGTGGAAAATTTTAAGCATGTTACTGGGGATATTTCGAGAAATAGCTTATAAAGTAGGTCACTGACCAATTTATTTGAAAGTGAAAAATAGCACCACATTCATAGATTTACAATGTACAACAGGTGAGTTTTCATTCCGGTCAGTGGGTTTTTTTGACATCTGAATAAATGTCAACCTTAATAATTAAGACATAAATCTGTGTTTGTCCGATGAACCCCTATATCTTTGAAAATATTAAGCCAACTGTCAATAGTGATTTTCCTTTAAGTAAGTTAAGGGTTATATCTGTACATATTTGCAGGGCAATCATTTCGTTTGGTCATTGGAAGATGAAAATATTTGTTATTTATCGTGGAATTAATTAGGTCTGACCCCATTGCCACAATACAAAATTTGAGAACAGCGTTGTGATTTAGGGTTCAAAGTTTCAATCATTTGTTGATGATTTCTTTTAGCATTTTAAAAGCTCCCCTATGGCTTTTTGATTTGGGAAAATTCATCATTTCGAAATTCGGGGGGGGGGGGGGGGGAGATTTGGACTTTCTTCGACTTTTCAACACTTCACAACCATTCTCCTTAGTAAATTAAAGTAAAGGCTTTTTGACATCATCGCAGCTGCGTTTTCAATAAAAATGGAACTCGTAAATTTACCTACCTCGTCATTGGTCATTTACA